CCAAGGCATATCTGTCCAGGAAATATTTCTGCAAATACAATTATTTGTAAGCATACTCTTTTGTTTTATTTTCATTTTTACACAAGTGGGATTTTAGAACAGATACTCCTCTGTAACCTCTAGCACCTCATACGTCTCGGGCAACTTTGCCGAGCAGGACAGGAGCGACGAGCGTCTCTCGTGTGCTGTGTGCTACGCTGAGCCCTTTGAGTGCACTGACAGTTTGACCTGCGCGGCGCGTAGACAGTCGGCGCTCTCAGGACCATCCTCGTCTGGGAGAAGGCGAAGCTGTGAACCTGCGTGGACTCCTCCTCCTGCTCTCTCCTGTGGCCCTGGGGACGGGCTGGGTCCAAGAGGCCCCTTTCCAGTACTTGTCATGGCTTTCAGGACAGACACAATTCCTGCCTCTGTGCCGGGCTCCTGCCGTGTGTCCAGCTTGTCTCATTCCACATGGGCCTGAGACCGCAGACGCTGGAACAAGAGGCGCCCCGCGCAGCCTGACGCCGTGCTAAGGTCTCTGGCATCAACGCCTGGAACCAGCTCCCACCTCCCGGAACCCAAGGGGACCCTTTTGAGAGGCGGGGGCAGGACAGCGCAGAGCGGTCCACGTGTGCTCGCGGTCTTCTCGCTGGGAGGAGCACGCGTGGCGCCGGCATGCAGGTGCTTCTGGAAGTGCCTGTCAGCGAGGGCATCTGTGTCCCTCCCCGTCCTGGCCACCCCCTTTCCTCTCTTGACAAGGTCTTCCAGCAAGCCAAGGGACATCTATATTTTAAGATCTTCCTAAGCTCCACGGACACTGCCTGCCGGGCGAGGAAAGGGCGAGTGGGTGCTGAATGGGAGAAATAAAGCCGCTTCTACCCGCCCTGTGCAGTCTGGGTAGGGCGGATCACGTTTCACATCTCCTGAAACTAGGGTTGGTTTGTTTCTTTCTTTCTTATTTTTTTGTTGAAAAACTTGGGTGTGGTTTTTGTTCTGACTTTCTTGATCAAATTTTATTATTTGACAAAATTATATATATTTATGGAGTACAATGTGATGTTTTAATGTATATGTGCATTGTGTAATGATTAAATCAATCTAATTAACATATCCATCACCTCACATTCTATCTGGGTTTTTTTGTGTGTGTGTGGTAAGAACATTTAAAATCTACTTTTTAAAAGAGATTTTGAAATACATGATACTTTATTATCAACTGTAGCCACCATGCTGTACAATAGATCACTAAAACTGTTTCTCCTGAACTGAAACTTTGTACTCTTTGACCAACATCTCCTTTTCTCCATCCCTTCCCCCTTGTTTGTTGCTTAAATTATTTGGGCACTAGCAGCTGTCTGAGCCCGAAGACACCTTTGAAAGCATGGGAGTCCCACATCACTAGGAGGGTAAGCAGAGGAAGCCACAGGCCTGCCTGTCCGCAGTGGGTGTCTGGCTGAACCACCGCCTATTCTCAGCAGGATGGCGGTGGCCTGGGCGCAAAGTGACCAGGAAGGGGCACACGGTGGGTTGTCCTCTTGTTTCAGGGCTGGATACCACGTCATGCTCAGTTTGTGAAAATTCAATAAACTGTACACTTAGGAATTGTGCAATATTTATGTGGGTGGGTATATATCTTAAATTTGAAAATAATGAAAGAACGAGGGCAATTCTGCCATGGGGCAGGAGACAGAGAGATCCACGTGGGCCATCTTCAGACACCCCTGCCCACTGCCCTCACACGCAGCGCTTTCCTTGCCGCCCTATGCTCCAGTCCTGTGTCCCCTTCCCGGGGGCGTGGACGTTACACTCAGGGACAGAAGGGCTTTGCCCTTGATCCAGGCTGCCAACCCTGGCCAGCACAGCACAGCCTGGCCGGGGTCCCCAAGTGCTTGTCCACTGCAGTGGCATGGCTTTGAAGTTGCCAACCAAAGGGACAACAGAAAAACATCTTGGTGGTGGCTGTTGTTTTCAACACTAAGACTCTAGATCAGGGATCCTCAAACTATGGCCCGCGGGCCACACGCAGCCCACCAAGGGCATTTATCCGGCCCACCAGGTGTTTTTGACATCACTGCCTGTCCTGCTTAGCAGCCGACTCGTCCCGGGCCCACAGTGCGCATGTGTGGAATGTGCGCCGCACTCTCCAACGGCCTCCAACGGTCTGAGGGACAGTGAACTGGCCCCCTGTTTAAAAAGTTTGAGGACCCCTGCTCTAGATTATCCAGAATAATGGGAACCCCCAAGAGCATGCCGGCACTTAGTGGAGGATCCAGGAATTCTTCTAGAATATCCTCAGAAGGACAGAGATCAGAGTGTAGAGAAGTGGGGACATGCGGGCAGGCAGTCCTCCACCTGAGTTCCAGGAGCAGAGACCTCAGGAGGGACCCAAGCAAATGGACAGGCTCCCAGCTTGCAAACTTTTTTGAGTTTTAATCCAGGATTTTAAAAATTATTATTTTAATTTGATTCATACAAAACTGAGCTCTTCTGGGGAATAAGTTCAATTTACCTCTCAGAAGCTCTTTTTTATTTAAGTCCTCCCTAGATAAAAGAGGAAAAACCAATCCAAAACTTTCACTTCTTCATATCTTTGCTGAATCTCAAGTGCACTTAAGGGGGAAAACACACACACACCAAGACAGAAAGGCCTATTTCAAAACAACAGGTATTTGCACATTGGTGCTTTGAACTATTTCTGGATCAGAAACTGGACTGTGTGTCCACAGAGCCATCTCCCCACCCAGCGTTTGCTCTGCATGGTGGGAGGAAAAGAGCAGCCTTAGGGTCTAACAGAAAATGTATTTCTTCTTTTCTATGACAGAATGCCATAAATTTACTAAGTTACAGCACCTACTTTTATATTATTATACGCGGAGGCCAAGACTGCAGCTTAGCCCAGTCTTTTCTGGAAATGGTTCTTTTGAAAACAGCAGGTCCACTTCAATAAAAGAAATGTAGTTTTGTCTTCCCTTTGACTTGCATCATCATTTTTATTTGTAGCTTTCTTTGTCAAGATGTATCTGGAAGCTGCTAATGGGAGTTCTGTTCTCATGAAAGAGTATGGTAGGGAGTAAGTCCCTGTGAGTCTATCTGCCATGAGGACACTTCCATTTCTAGAACCTTGCCAAAATAAATATTTAGGAAGGGATTTCACAGAAGTTCACATCTGGACATCTCCACAAGGGGCAGATCAAACAGGAGGCTGAAACGCCTGTGTGGATCGCCCGGTTCATTAACTGCTGCTGTGCGGGCTGCCAGCCTCGGGGCCACCCAGCCCAGCAGCCACAGGGCAAGGCCCACTGCATGGATGGAGACTCCAGGGTCCCGGTGGGTCCCTCTGCTTCAGTGACTGTCACTCCATCTCGAGTTCCACACGGTGCTTCCCCAAAAAACTTTTCATTTGACAACATTTACCAGTGCTACAAAGAGTTGAAAGCCACTGATTTACTTGAAACCCTTATTTTACCTGGGCAGAGAGAAAACGTGGCTGATCAGGGATTCCCAAACAAAGATCAGCTAAGAACTTTAAAACATTTGAGCAAAATGAATCTTATAAAAAAGTGGCATTCAAATTCAATAAATGTTGCTGTTCAAGGAAACAACTAACACAGCAGTTTAAAGTTTGTTTTTTTGTTTTTGTGTGTGTGTGTGTGTTTTTTTTTTTTTTTAGACAGAGTCGCACTCTTTGCCCAGGGTAGAGTGCTGTGGCGTCAGCCTAGCTCACAGCAACCTCAAACTCCTGGGCTCAAGCTATTCTTCTGCCTCAGCCTCCCAAGTAGCTGGGACTACAGGCATATACCACCATGCCCAGCTAATTTATTTTTTCTATGTATTTTTCATTGTCCAATTAATTTTTTTCTATTTTTTTGGTAGAGATGAGGTCTCACTCTTGCTCAGGCTGGTTTCAAACTCCTGACCTTGAGAGATCCTCCTGCCTCGGCCTCCCAGAGTGTTAGGATTACAGGTGTGAGCCACCGCACCCAGCCCAGTTTAAAGTTTCAATGGCAATGATGTTCAATATATTTGAGAAGATTAGAGAATACAAACTATCCATAAAAGAAGAGATGTTATGAAAAATAACTATAAAACTTCAAAATTTAAAATATGATTGTTACTAAAACCTTAAAAAATAGGTTCAAGAGCAAAGCAGACATGATGGAAGGGTGGACCAGTGAAGTGAAAGATGGCGGGGCTCTTGCAGAGTGTTGTTCACAAGGACAAAGCAATACAGTGAGAGGGAAGTGCAGCCCATGAGGGGGCGGAAGTTTATGCATCTACTTGCCCGGAGTTTCGGGGCAGAGAACCGAGAGACTCGAGGGAGGAAAGCGAATGGATAGAAGGAAACTGATGAGGAGCCTCACAGTTCACGAGCAGGGCTGGCTTCCCGGCGCCAAGCGTGCTGCCGCCGCCTGCGAACGTGAGCAGCCCGCCAGCCCCAGCCGCAGCCATCTGTGCGCGCCGGACTCGCTTCCGACGCAGAAAAGGGCAACCGCCTAACGCGCAGAAGACCCCTTCCCACCTGTGCTACTTCCGTGTTAGCCACACACGTGCTCTGAGAGGAAAGGGGGAAGCAACCTTCCTTCCCTCAGTGCCACCTAGTCGGCTCAGGGTGTGCGCGAGTGACCCGGACTTGCTGGGTCGCAGCCAGCACCGTCGGCTCCAGTGAGGGTGGCATGGGCACGCACAACGGGGCTGCAAAGCACAAACTGTGGTTCCAGTGATTCCTTATATGAGTTAGGCACCCTTGGATTTGCATTTAAAACAGGCATTCATTACACTAATGATAGAAGTCATGCTAATAACCTAAAATTTTAACGTTACTTGGGACATTAAATAACAACTGAATGACACTATAGCAAGTCAAGAAAAAAACTGAATGAAAGGAAAAAGCTTTATCTTTCAGTATTGTTACACTTTCTTCCTGCTTTTTGAACAAGGTCCCACATTTTAATTTTGTACTGGGTTCTACAAATCAGATGGCCTGCCCTAATTAAAAGGGCCACCAAAGTCATGGCAGAACAGATTTTTCAAAGGTTTATTTATTTTGGAACTTCGATGGTAAAGAGGAGTTTCTGAAGTTTCCAGAGAGAGAAAGAAGAGTTCGTCCGTGGAGCAGGGCGGGGCCTGCGATCCCGCTCAGGGAGGCTGCCGGGCAGGGCTGTGTCTTAATCCTGTCTGGAAACAGAAGAAGGCGGAGGAGACCGTGGCCTGGGGGCCGTGGTGAAATCCTGGGGGTGTCCGGGAGCCCCTCAGCAAGATCTGGCCGCAGCTCGGGGGCAGGGCCGCAGCGCGAGGACGTCCGTGCTGGAACACAGCGTCCGTGTCCCTGCTCCAGGGCCTGGGCTCCGTGGCCCTGAAGACAGCCCAGGAGGCTGGAGACGGCGCGGGGCCAGGCTGCTGGAGAGACTCAGGTTCATGTGCAGAGACACAACTGGTACAGACACACACACACACACACACACACAGGGACACACAGCATTGAAAATTTTCCCGTAGTTCTTCAAATACAGAGAAGTCATCCAAACAATTTTGGCCAAGGGAATTCCTGGCAGCCTTGGAGGGGGTGGGGATGGCACAGGGTCGGGGTTTTGCCTTTCCTGCCTTCCAACCGACACAATCCACACAGGGTTCTGTAGGCATTCGGCCCTGGAACACTTTCTTTTCCACTGAGCAGACCGGTTGGAAAATACTGAAGGAAGAAATGGCAGAGGCCATATTGGCGTGGGCAGGGCAGAGGCTCAGCCGGGGTACAGCACACCTGACCAGCCTGCAGCGTCAACGGCGGGCTGGGGCCGGAAATCCACTGTGTCAGCTTCAAAGGACTGAACCCAGGCTGGTTTGCCTCCGGGCCTTCGTCCCCAAAGCCCCAAAGTGCTTCCTCTGGGTTCATTGGAGAGACAGCACAGAGGCAGACACACAGCCACATAGACACGAGCACGTGGCTGCTGAGGTGACCACCACGGCAGGGCCCAGACAGGTGAGGTGACTGGGCCTCCTTGAGCTCTGCCTCCAGCCACCCCCTTGTCTCACCCCGTCCTGGTGCCGCCTGGCGCCTCAACCACCCAGGGCAAAGCACGTGTGGAAGCGGGCTCCACGCGGGACATGCACGAACAAGGGCTGGGGCAACAGGGACAGTCACGCAGCCCAGGTGTCCTCGGGCGTTCCATCCACAGGGACATCTGCATTAGGCTACAGGACTACACGGCATAGCTGGAACTGGGGCCACCATGGGCCAGGTGCTCAGGGGGCGGTCCAGGGTGACCAGGCCCCGTGCTGCAGGTGCTGGTGGCCTGGAGCAGCCCGCACAGAGCCATGCTCCACAGATACTTGCCTCTGGTAACTGGACTTGGAGATGCCACTGCACTCCCCTTTCCAGCCATGGGGAGAGCTAGCACGTAAGGCTGACTCCTCACCCAGCCTGGGAGTCTTCAATTCTTGCCACTGGTTGTTTCATTCTAAGGCAAGTCCCTACCCATAATAAACACAAAATACCACTCAAGTAAGCCCTTCTTTTGCAATGCTCGATCTTCAGCATCTGGATGTTCAAAGACATTTTAAAAGTCAACCCTAATAATCCTGCCGTTGCCCCTGCATGGGGCCCCTGCACACAGGAATATTTAACTTGAGAAGTTCTGCTGGGTTAGAAGGGCATGCACTTCCAACCCTGGCATAATTTCGTGCCTTTCATGCCCAAGCTGGGCTGCCTGGACACACCCTGTGCCTTACGTTTCACCAGCTGCGAGCTGGCCAAGAGGTACTAGCAAACTGGGCTCCGGCTGATTTCCACCCAGGGTTTCAGTCCTTGGAAGCCCTCCAGGGGGGCTTCAAAGAGGTTCTCACCCCATCAGGAGGATGGCCGTGCCGCGGCTGGTTGTGCACCCCTGCAATGAGCTGTGCGTGCATGGAGGCCATGGTGCACAGAGCACAACCCATAGGTAAGGGGTTCGAGCCATCTGGCCACCAATTCCCACTGTCATATATCTGGGTCCTATGGGCCTATGGAGCCGAAATCCTCCTGAAGAACCTAGATAAATTGGGCTCACATCACGCAAGAGTCCACACCACTTGTGGATGGCCATGGAAAAACAGTAGCTGCTAAGAGTTATCATTTGTGGAGCAGAAATGATGTGCAAACACATAGAAAGTCAGTATTATCGTCATCATCATCTGCTTGTGCAGAGCAGGAAACTAAGGCCCGAGGGGTTAAGCAACTTGCTCAAGGCCACACAGACAATGACAAAGCATTGTTAAATGACCCTCCTTGAGGGGTTCTGGAACCCAAGGGCGCAGTGCACCGTCCTGTGGTAATGGTCTGACACATCTCCCTCCCCGTCCTGTCCTGTTCTCCTTTGACCATCGGGGCCTAACTAGAGCTCCAGGGTCCCCAGCAATATCCACATCAGGACAAAACTGAAAGTTAAAGGTGAAAGCACTAATTTCCCAAGGATTTATCTGTAAAATAATCAATTTTTGTTTCACTAAATTTGTTTAATTTTCCAGTTGTTTTGGGAACCTTATGACTCACAAGGAACCCTGCAGTTCTAGAAGGATTTGCTCCTCTCTCATCTGCAGTAGACAAGGTGTGTTAGTCAGGGTGCTCCAGAGAAGCAGGACCAAGAGGACGTGTATAGATATATGAGGGGCTTTATTGCAGAAATTGGCTTGAGTGAGTGGAGGCTGCAAAGCCCCTGACCTGCTGTCGGCGAGCTGGGGAGCCAGAGAAGCTGGAGGTGTGACTCAGTCTGAGTCCAAAGGCCTGAGACCAGGAGCGCCAGCATCCAAAGGCAGGAGGAGACGGATGTCCCAGCTCACGCGGAGATGGCAAATCCAAATGACGCCAATCCATGTCTGTGGGAGCAAATCTCCTCACTCAGTCTACTGATTTAAACCTAATCTCTTCTCGAAACACCCTCACAGACACACACAGAAATAATGTTTCACCAGCTATCCGGGCATCTCTTATCCTAGTCAAGTAAAAATACAAAATTAATCATCATAAATCCACCTCTGTCAGCTCCACACCCATATGCATCTTCTGACAAATATTTAATCTTCAGTAAAGACCATACCAAGCTCATAATTCCGCCTAACATGGCACAACTACCCTGCATACAACCAAAACTCACCAATCCCTTCCCCACAGGAAGGCAAAGTCCTTGAAGGATGTTTGCTCTTCTCCTTGGTATCCCATAATTTAAATACTATGATGTAAAACCGACAGTACTGAAATAAAGTCAATACATTGTGTATTACATGCCTAGAGAATAAGTGAGGACCGAAAGCAAGGACATCTGCTTACTTTCTGTATGCACACACAAAACACACTCTCAACACGGGAGGGGAAGTGCCTGTAGCAGCCACAGTCCTGCTTTCTGTAACTGGCCATAGCTATAACTGGTCATAGCTGCTACTTATAACTCACTTATTCCACTACCCATTGTGTATTCCCTTTGCCCTCGGCAAGCACTGCAGCTGCTCATGGATTTTTACCTTCACTCTTGAATGGTCTGGGCCTTTAGCTGTCTTGCCTGGACTGGGTTGTTGTCACTTTGAACTTAATCCCAGGGCATGGCAATACTAAAAGACATCCTAACCTAGGGTGGGTTGTGTAATTATTGTACTATACATCACAGTGTAATAATAATAGAAATAAAGTGCACAATAAATGTAATAATGCGCTTGAATCATCCTGAAACCATGCTCCCTCCCAGTCTGTGGAAAAACTGTCTTCCATGAAAATGGTGCCTGATGCCTAAAAGGTTGGGACCATTGCTCCAAAGCATATCGACCAAGCAACACCTAAACCCATCACTGTGCTTTCGTATGTCCCTGACCAAGGGCCAGGCCCACCCAGCACACCCCACCTGGCGGGCCTTGCCTGGGGACCACGACTGCCCTGCGGGCCTCACAGCCGAAGGGCTTGGGCTGCAGCCCCGCAGGGGGATGGGCGTCCCTTCCAGCTAAGACGTTTTGCACCCCACCTTTCGTGCCCACAGACTGCAGCTAGCACGCCTCTGCGTGAACCTGCGGGAGGACACCTGCCACAAACCCAGGAGATGGGTGTGCTCGGCTCCCTGCTGGCCGCACCTCCATCTCAAGACTGGGAACCTGAGTACTTTATTTTCTTTCTTGCTATTGTGAAGCGTATTGAGTCTTTGATTTGGTTCTCAATTTGATTGTTGTTGGCGTATATGAATGCCTCTGATTGATTTTGTATCTTGAGACTTTACTAAATTCATTTATCAATTCCAGGAGTCTCTTGGTTGAATCCTGGGGATTTTCTAAATATAATACCATATCATCAGCAAACAATGAAAGTTTTATCTCTTCTGCCCCAATTTAGATACCTTTAATTCCACTTTCATGTCTGATTGCTGTAGCCAGGACTTCCAGCACTATGTTGAATAGAAGTGGAGATAGTGGGAAACCTTTTCTGCTTCCAGTTCTAAGTGGGAATGCTTTCAATTTTTCCCCATTCAGTATGATGTTGGCTATGGGTCTGTCATATATGGCTTGTATCATTTTTAGGTATGTTCCTTCTATGCCTATTTTATTAAGTGTTCTTATCATGAAAGGGTGTTGAATTTTGTCAAAAGCTTTTTCTGCATCTATTGAAAGAATCATGTGGTCTTTGTTTTTGCTTCTGTTTATGTGGCGAATTGCATTTATAGATTTACGTATGTTGAGGGAGAACTATGAAACACTGAGGAAGGAAATAGCAGAGGATGTAAACAGATAGAAATTCATACCATGCTCTTGGGTCAGCAGAATCAACATTGTTAAAATGTCTATACTACCCAAAACTGATCTACAGATTCAATGAAATCCCTATTAAAATCCCAACATCATTCTTCACAGATATAGAAAAAAAAAATAATTTTATGTTTCGTTTGGAACCAGAGAAGACCACGTATATCAAGAGCAATTCAATAAAAACAAAATAGGAGGGTATTAATATGCCAGATATCAAACTATACTACAAAGCTGTAGTAATTAAATTAATTTGGTACTGGCACAAAAACAGGTATATTGACCAGTGGAACAGAACTGAGAACCCTGTTATAAAACCATCCTCATATAGCCATCTAATTTTTGACAAAGCAGACAAAAACATACACTGGGGAAAAGAATCCCTTTTCAATAAATGGTGCTGGGAAAACTGGATAGCCACATGTAGAAGACTGAAACAAGACCCACACCTTTCACCTCTCGCAAAAATCAACTCATGCTGGGTAACAGACTTAAACCTAAGGTATGAAACTATTAGAATTCTAGAGGAAAATGTTGGAAACACTCTCCTAGACATTGGCCTAGGCAAAGAATTTATGAAGAAGACCCCAAAGGCAATCACAGCAGCAGCAAAAATAAATAAATGGGACCTGATCAAACTACAAAGCTTCTGCACAGCCAAAGAAACAGTCATGAAAGCAAACAATCTACAGAATGGGAGAAAATTTTTGCATCCTACACATCAGATGGGGGGCTGATAACTAGACTCTACTTAGAACTCACAAAAATCAGCAAGAAAAAAATCAAACAACCCTATCAAAAAGTTGGGAAAGGACATGAACAGAAACTTTTCAAAAGAAGACAGAAGAATGGCCAACAAACATAGAAAAAATGCTCAACACCATTAATCATCAGGGAAATGCAAATCAAACCCACAATGAGATATCACTTAACCCCAGTGAGAATGGCCTTTATCAAAAAATCCCCAAACAATAAATGCTGGCGTGGATGCGGAGAGAGAGGAACACTCCTACACTGCTGGTGGGACTGCAAACTAGTGCAACCTGTGTGGAAAGCAATATGGAGATACCTCAAAGCGATAGGAGTAGATCTACCATTTGATCCAGCAATTCCACTACTGGGCATCTACCCAAAAGATCAAAAGTCACTTTATGAAAAAGACACCTGCACTCGAATGTTTATAGCAGCACAATTCACAATTGCAAAGCTGTGGAAATAACCCAAGTGCCCATCAATTCATGAGTGGATTAATAAAATGTGGTGGTATATGTATACCATGGAGTACTATTCAGCTCTAAGAAACAATGGTGATACAGCTCCTCTTGTATTTTCCTGGATAGAGCTAGAACCCATTCTACTAAGTGAAGTATCTCAAGAATGGGAAAACAAGCAGCACATGTACTCACCAGCCAATTGGTATTAACTGATCAGCATCTAAGTGGACATATAGGAGTAACATTTATCGGGTGTGGGGAGGGTGTGAGGCGGAGGGGGCGGGTATATGCAAACATGATGAGTGAGACGTGCACCGTCTGGGGGATGGTCACGCTTGAAGCTCAGACTTGTGGGGGGAGGGGGAGCAAGAGCATTATTTGAAACCTTATAATTTGTACCCCCATAATATGCTGAAATTTTAAAAAATGGGGGAAAATAACTGGGAACCGTTTCCCTGAACGCCGCAGCCACCCGCCACGCAAACACCGGGCATGTCATTCCGGTGCCTGCTCCCTCCTACGGCACAGGGGCGCCGCCCCCGGCTCGGCTGCCACCGCGCGGCGCCCGCCCGCGCCCTGGCCTCGTCCCCGCCGCCGCCCGGTCCCGCCCGCCCCAGGTGTGACTCTCAGCCACAGCCTGCCGGCGAAGGGCGCCGCCCGCTCCGCCCGCCCCAGGTGTGACTCTCAGCCACAGCCTGCCGGCGAAGGGCGCCGTCCGCTCCGCCCGCGCCGCACTGGGGCCGGTGGCCCTCCCGCTCCAGAGCGCCTGGGGCTCCGGGAAGGGCAGCCCACCTCGTCCGCTGCTCCCGCGGCCCAGCCCCGCGGGGAGGCCCTGCGCGCACCCGGCCCATGCGGCCGCGAGTCTCCCGCCAGCTCCCGCCCCTCCGCGGCCGCCGCCTCCGGTTCCTGTCGCTCTTCCGGCCCTTCCCCGCCTCTATTTCTGCCCCTCTCCCCTCTCGCACACATCACACACACAGCACACATGCCACACGCACCACACACGTCACACACCTACCACACACGTCACATACAGTACACACATGCCACCCACACCACATACATCACACACACCACACAGCACATACATACCACACACACATCACACATCACACATGACACACATACCACACACACATCACACACCACACACATAACACCTACCACACACATCACACACCTACCACACACATCACACACATACCACACACATCACACCACACACAGCACATATATCGCACATACCACACACATCACATACAGCACACATGACACACAACACACATGTCACACACCACATACATCACACACCACACACATGGCACATACGTCATACACACATACCACACACATCACACACACATACCACACACACCACATACATCACACACCACACACAAAGCACATACATCGCACATGCCACACACATCACACACGGCACACACATCACATGCACATACCACACACACATCACACAAACATCATACATGACACACCACACACATTACACACATCACACACACACACAGACCTGAGTCCCAGAATTTGGAAAACCCCTACGTACAAATCATCCCCCAGTATCCAAGGATCCCTCTGTCCCTTTGAGGAGCGTGACAAAAGGCCCAAACGACACTGCCGAGGGTGGCACTTGAGCACAGTCGCGTGCTGGGAGCAGAACCGCCGCCCTGGGGGCGCCTGGCCAGCGGCGCCGGTCAGGACCGGTCTCCGCCAGGTGTTGCTTCCACAGGCCCACACGGTTCCTCGGTGGGGGGGGCAGCCTCAGGGCCCGGTCTTGGCCCAGCCAGTGTGGCTCCATGTCTGCATGTGGGTGACTCCACGCCTGTGGTTGGTCCTGTCCCTGCAAAGCCTGTGGGTGGGGCGGGCCCCAAGGGCAGAGGAAGGAACCTGGCTTCTAAGAGCGGCCCTGCCCCAGCCCTGCCCAGGTGCTGCGGTCCCGGCCAGCGGCAGCGTGGCGTGGAGGGCTCTGGGCTGTCCATACAGCTGCCTCGAAGTCGGGTGCCCTAGAAGGCCCGATGCTTTGGCCGGCGGCGGCTCACTGCCATGCTCACTGTCAGCACATGGCGCACACGGCGCCGCGGCCAGCCGCTCGCCCCTGGGGCTGGACAGGGCGCGTGCCCCAGGAAGCAGGCTCTGCGACGGAGCCATGGTCTCCTGCAGCTTCCCGGGTGGTTGTGTATTCACCCGTGTGTATTCTTCTTCGTACAACAGGCGCCCTAGCCAGGCGTGGTGGCGCACGCCTGTAGTCCAGCTACTCGGGAAGCTAAGGCAGGAGCACCACTTGAGCCAGGGAGTTGGAGGCTGCGGGGAGCTAGATCACACCGCTGCGCTCTACCTGGGCCAGACTCTGTTTCAAAACCAAAAACAAAGTTAAAGGGCCCCAGACAGGCTGAGGCGCAGAACTGGAGGCACCTGCGTTCCACACGAACCCTCGGAGTGTCTCCTCCTGACGGCCCTGGGCCTTAACCCAGCTGCTCATCCGACTCCTCCAGGGGCTTTAGGAAACGTCAGCGGCCAGGCCCCTGCCCAGAGCCAGAAACCAGCCTTGCCGCCTCCACAGGGCAGCACAGTTCCAGGCACCTGCACTCGGGTGGCCCCTCAGCCCGCCCAAGACCACTGAGGCAGAATCTGCTTTTCAACAAGACACGGGTGATCTGCAAGTGCAGGAAGGTGTGGATGTGAGACTCGGAGGCCTGCTGGCCTCTCTCTAGCCTCCAGGGCACGGGGTGGGTGTGGGGCAGGGGAGCACCCAGCTGGCGTGGCAGGGCAGCTGGCCCTGCTCGAGGTGGCCCTGCGTCAGCTTCCTGGGCTGCTGCAACAAAGCGCCACAGACATCCAAGACCAGGGTGCGGCAGGGTGTTTCTTCCGAGGCCTTCCTCTTCGGCTTGCAGATGGCGTCTCACATGGGTATGGCGCTCTCCCCGTGTGTGCGTGTGTCCACGGTTCCCTCCCGCTGAGGACGCGGTCATGTGCAGTAGGGCCCACCCCATGACCTCATCTCACGTGCGTCATCTCAAAGACCCCATTTCCACATAAGGCCGCATCCGCAGGTGCTGGGGTTAGGACTGTACATCTTTTGAGGGGACACAACCCAACACCGCCGGGAGCGGCCAGGGTGCGGGGCTGTGCAGTCCTCCTCCTGTTGCAAGGGGAACTCAAGGCCACGGGGAATGCAGCAAGTTGCCCAGAGGCTCTGCTCCAGTCCCCTGTGGTCCTCAGGAAGTGTCCTCACCAAGTTGTCACACAGCCCGGGGGCCAGCTCAGCAGGAACCAACTGTGCTCCATTAACCAGAAGCCACTCTTGAGCCGGGAGCAAGGCCTCTATCTGAGCCCACTGGGCACGTGCCATGTCCAAGCACAAGGACCCAGTGTCCACTCACAGTGTATTATGGGCTGAATCGTGCCCCCTCGAAACTCACACGAAAGCCCTAGTCCCCAGAACCTCAGCACGTGCCTTTGCAGGCGGAGTCAGGGCGAGGCTCGCCGGAGCAGGGTGGGAGAGAGGGAGGGCCACGCGAGCGAGCGCAGGGAGACACCACAGGCAAGCCTCGGAGAGAGGCTTCGGGAGAAGCACCCTGCCCTCTGATCTTGGACGTCAGCCTCCGGAAGGGTGAGAGTGAGCGTCTGCTCTGTGCCGCGCCACCCGCAGCCCTGGCGACGACCACACACAGGAAGCTGACAGGGAGCTGCAGGGGATGTTGGGGAAACGGGCGAGAATATAAAACAAAGCCTTGAGGCTGGGCCTCCTCATCAACCCCACTCCACGGAGGGGCGGCAGACACAGTCTGAAGAAGGCGTCTGGGGAGGCCCGTGAGGTGTGGGTGCAGAGCGGCTGGGCGGGGCCTCAGTCTCTGTGCAGACAGACGCCAGGGCGGGCTGTCCTGCGTGGTCCTGGCAGCATCCCTGTCCTCAGGAGCATGGAGTCTGTTGGGGCCACAGGTGGAACCCTGGGGATTCTGCTTTGGGCAGGTGGGAGGGGAGGAGCTGGGGCCTTTCCACCCTTGCTGTGAATCTGACCTTGGTTCTATGCACAGGTGGGAAAGCCTGGGGAACTCGAGGGAGAATGTGTGGGACCACAGGGGCCTTCTTGGAGCATGCAGCCAACCACGTGCTGTCAGGAACTGAGCTCCAGGGGTTCTAGCCTGGGGTGCAGAAGGAAGGTCCTGAACAGGACTGTTGCTGGCTCTATAGAGCATGTACCTACTGGGTGACAGCTCTCTTCTTCTGGGTCACTCCCCATCTGCCTCCCCAATCCTACTCCACCTCCACCCAATCACAGCCCCTTCTGCCCCCCCTCCTTTTTCTCTTTCTCTCTCCCTCACTCCTTCCCTCTCTCTTCCTTTCTCTCACCATCTCTGAACACTCAGTTTCTCTTCATCCTATTGGCCATCAGCACAGGTGAATTCACCAGAAAGCTAATGCAATATAATTTTACTTTGGAACCTGGGGTTTGCATGGGCTCCTTCCAAGATTCTGGAATAAAATAAAAGTTCCAAAGGTAAGAAATTTTATCTGCAATCTGTTAAGACAGGTGTCTCTTTCCCTGCCAAGTTTCCTGCCATAGCATTGGAATAGCCACAGGCCCTTTTAAGATTCAGGTAAAAGAAAGACGAATTAGAGCAGCAATCCATAACATTTGTGGCACCAGGGGCTGGTTTCATGGGAAAAAATTCTTCCACAGACCGGGTTGGCAGGGATGGTTTTGGGATGATTCAAGCGCATTACATTTACTGTGCAGCAAACCTCTCTGCTGACGATAACCTGTATTTGCAGCCGCTCCCCAGCGCTAGCATCTCCGCCTCAGATCACCAGGCGTTAGACTCTCATAAGGAGCACAATCTAGATCCTTCGCATGCGCAGTTCACAGTAGGGTCCGAGCTCCTGTGAGAATCTAGCGCTGTTGCTAATCTGACAGGAGGCGGAGCTTACATGGTGATGCCAGTGGTGGGAAGCAGCTGTAAATACAGATGAAGCTTTGCTCGCTCACCTCCAGCTGTGCAGCCCTAACAGTTCCCGACAGACCATGGACCCATAGAGTTAAGAGGACACACAGCTGGAGTCCTGTGGGATCGTGCATGTGGGTTGCAGGAACTCCCAGATGTAGTAACATTATCACCAACCATCCAGTATAGCAAAAGCCCTCACCCACTTAGGCACAGACTTGATACAATGAAGCATACACAATTACACACGCTTCATGCTTTTGCTTTTCGTTTTCAACAAGAATCATCTAGAAAGGAATTTACCAGAACTCCTACATTGTTGAGCCCAAGACCGTAGCTGACGTATACTCAGTGACCATGTGTGGTTGCTCATTTTATAGCTCCCAACTACTGCACCAAGTCTTAGCTCAGTGATATACCTTGACCAGAGCTAGTTCTGGTGATTCCTGATGAAATGGTCCCCAAAATTCTCTTTTCTTAAAGAAGGCTCCAAAATCATGTGAGCATCAGGCTCTGAAGGCTGACCTGCCCTGGCCTCCTGACACTCAAGCCCCTATCTACAGACAGAGGAGTGAAGTCCCAACTCTGTTCCCTGATGTGCTGAGCCAACACACTGGCTGTGATATGAACTCTCCATGCTTTAGATTGGCTGTGGATTCCTCTTCTTCCACAGAACACAGGAACCTAAATCACAAAAAAGACATGGGGTTTAATAGTGAAAAACACTGAGTCACCTTTTCTATCACTGAACGAACCTAAGACCTTCACCTAGCCAGTTTGGAATTTCTGGGGTACCTTAGAGAATTATTCTGGCAGGCATTCAATGACCCAGCGTTTGAAACATCACTTGGCCTAGGACAGAGAAACCCAACCTGCTAGAACCCAGGCCTGACTCTGACCCTTGTGAACTAAAATAAAAAAGCCCCATAGCTGACTGAATGGACCCCCTTTTGGCCAAGGGGACCCCCCCCAAAGAAAAAAACCAGCCTTAAAGCTGAGTTGACAGCCATGAGATGAAGGGAGGTCAGATATAACTAGTTATGCTCTGTCCCTTTTAGAATTATTCTTAGTAACAATAATATACAAAGTCATTAACAAGCCTAAGCCTAAGACAAAGGTTAAGCCATACCCACAGGTACTTAATTTCCTTAACAAATCACTTGAGTCTGGGTATATATCCAGTATATGTCTGGTGGCTTGTCTCTGACAGACTTCCTTATCTTAACTTAAAACATTCTGAGCCTGTAGATAAAGCTTCATTTCTTTAGCCAATTACAAATCAAAGAATCTTTAAACCTACCTATAACCTGCAATCCCCTGCCTCAAGATGTCCTGCCTTTTCAGTCCAGACTAATGTACACCGTCCATGTATTTATTTAAGACTTTATGTGTAATTCCTGTCTCCCTGAAATGTATAAAATCAAACTGTAACTCAAACACAATGAGACAGTTTGCTCGAGGCTTCTTGGGCATGACTCTCCGGGCCATGGTCACACATATTCCGCTCAGAACTAACCTCTTTATTTTACAGAGTTTAGGTTATTTTCTACTGACACCCTCCACTTCCTGCACCAGGACTCCAAAGGTTCCAAGTCCATGAAGTCCAAGCCCTGAGAAGGAGGAGCAGTAGTGATGGCCACACAGCATGGTGGGTTGTGAGCCTCACCTCCTGTTGCACTTTCAAAGATTACCAAGACCTGGGCCTGGGCCCAGCACCAGCACTTAAGGCCCTGGTGGATTCTAACAGGCAGTCAGGCCTGGGAAGCAGTGATGTTATACAGTGAAATCTGGATCTGCCTCTTCTTTTTGGTTCTATCTTCTGAGTGGCTTTTTCATTTGTAAAATGAGGAGTTAATAATAACAGCTATCTCAAAAGCTGGTTGGTTTTAGATGTATAACCGAAAACACACCTGAAAGGCTTTGTAAGCTATAAAATATTATGAAAATGTAAGTTCTATTATAGAGTGCTCAAAAATAACATAGTGAGCATCTAGTGTATTAAAGCGAGTGACAACATTTGCACGTGTGAGCCGAGCTCTGGGCACTCACACGTTTTGATGTTTTCACCATGAAGTCCTTTGCATGCTGGTCTGCGCAGTAGTACAGAGAAGCGGATGATGTGTTGCCAGAGGGCATCGCTGAGCTTTCTTTGATCCTTGAGTACTCACCTGGGTACTTTCCAAAGGCTGAGAATGGGGAGAGGAAGACTACGTATGATACCCAATTCTAATGTCACTCTTAGGTGACGTGGACAAATAGTCTAACCTTGCTTTCTCCCCTACTATTCTTCTCTTGAAGCCTGTTGTGGCTTCCAGAAAGTATCTCCAAGAATCACCAGTGGCCTGAAGCATGGTGGAGGCCTGGAAAGAGTCCCTGCTGTTCCACCGGCCACGCGGGAGCCTGGCACGGCAGTTCTGAGCCACCCTGGGCATGGCAGATGCTGACACTGCCGAGTGCTGTGAGCCACTGGGCTGGCGCCCTCCTCCGAGCCACTCCCCGGAGGACCATGTGAGAGACACAAGAGGTGGAGTTTGCCGTAGGCACAAAGCTTGCTTCGCCTGCTAGGCTGGGTCCTGTTCCGGGCTGGCGGGAGGGGGCAGGCACTGTCTGAATGAGGACAGGCAGGGACAAGGAAGTCCAGGACCCACTGAGAAAGTACCAACGGGTCTGAAGAGGATGCTGCCCCAGAACCCAGCCACCCTCTCCAGCCTGGAAAAGGGCCAGGGCAGGGTCCATCTCTGAGCAGCATAGGAAAGGCAGATCTTTCACTGTGAGTGGAGAGCTCAGCTCTTATAGAGACTTAGGCCAAGTGCACTGGCTGGGTTTGCACTTCCAGGCTCTAAGTAACAGCCTCTCCATAGTTCTAGTTCTGCTGTGGCAACAGTGGTGTCTACACTAGAGCCAGTCGGTGGGTGGTCCAAGATGGGGCTGTGGGGCACCAGGCCCCACATCCAGATCCACCAGGGAGGGCTAACTGCCATGAATGCCAGCATGTGGCCAGCTCTGCACGCCACCACCTGGAAGAGGAAAAGCAACAATTAAATGGTTAAGAATAAAAGGTAATTTTCATGTCCAGAGGATCATTAGGAGTACAAGAAGATCTGAAAAATAAAAGGGCAGAGACACCTGTTTAACAGACACACACCACAGGCACACCTACACACACACACACACGCCCACAGGCACACATGGAATCCTGGCAGGACATTACAAAAGAATACACATCCCACAAGCCAGACTTAGACCATGTGTTTTCAGACCATGACACACAGATACAAACTTGGAATGGAATGAACCCAACAGCACTTTAGGGGAAGCCCCAGCCCCAAATGAAAAACGTATTCCATAGAAGGCCACCATTTAGTGCTCAAGAATAAAGTACTGGGGAGTCACTGAGAGAATTTCATAGAAAAACATTAGTTTTTCTATGGATATTAATTTGGATATTAATGGATATTAATATCCATTAATGGATATTAATATCCATTAATGGATATTAATTTTTAATGGATTAATTAATAGATATTAATTTTTAAGAGAAGAGTGTTCTAGAATGAACAAGTGCCCAAATGTTTTGATTGCAGAAAAATACCAATTACAATGTCGGTTTGCTGTCTGCCTGGTTAACGGGCCACTCCTTCGCATTTCACAGCCCTCAGCGTGATCCTCCCGCCCTGGGAGGCGCCCGTTTCTGAGGCAAGCAGGGCCGCGCCGTCTCCAGGGAGTCCTTAGCTCACGTCTTCCGTCAGGGTCCTTTCAGGGGCACGCAGTGAGGCACAAAGTTTAGGTGACCAGCACCGGCTTGAGGGCCACTTGTTCTCTTTCCCTCACAGCTGAGCGCTGACAGGCGGGAGGGCGAAGAGCGGGGCGGGCGGGGTGCCGGCTGGGTTCGGGCCCTGCCCACAGGGAGGCGCGGCGCGGCGCGGTCTGCCTGCCAGGGCGGCGGCAGGGAGCTCGCGCAGTCCCGGGACGCATCCCGCCCGCAGGCGCGCTTCGCCTGACGCTGCTATGGATGCTGTCCTAGAAGCTCCGGGTCGGCTGCGAATTGAGAAATCATTTCCTGTGCCGGGAGGGGCGGCCCCGCCTTCTCCCGTGCCGGCCGCTTTCCTTCGGGGACAGCCCACTTGATAGGGGCTGGGGCCGGCGGCGCCGCGCAGGGTCTGCCGCTGGCATTGGCCTGGCGCGCCCCCCCCGCGCGCCGGCCCCCCCCGCCGCCGCCCCCCGCGCGCCCCCCCCCGCGCGCCGCCCGCGGCGCCCCGCGCGCGCCCCGTGCGCCGCCCCTGCGCGCCGCGCCCCCCCCCGCGCGCCGGGCCCCCGCGCGCCGCCCCCCCGCGCGCGCCGCCCCCCGCGCGCCGCGCCCCCCCCACTGCGCCCCCCCACGCGCCTGCCCCCCTGCGCGCCGCCCCGTCGGGAAGAAACGGCAGTGCCCGCCCTTCCACAGGCCTGTCAGCCCTGGCGGTGCGAGGAAATCCATGGCGTCATTTGATATGAGCTGTGGAGAACAAACAGTATCGGACACTGGCTCTTTGTTTTTATGAATGAGGAAGAGTTGTTTATGAACAACATACATTTTCACTCATTGTTCCACAGTCTGAAGACAGTTGTATAAAAATGAGTCATTGAAAGACCTCCAAGATTGCGAAAGTTTAAAGTCTTATGACTCACGGCTTTGGTAACATAATGCTTAGCGAAAGAAAAAAAAGAAGTCGTTCCTGGAACTGTCCCTATCTGAGTGGCATGTGGGCTGTGGGCATCACATGGTCATCTGGGACCCCCGAGGGAGCAGTGACCAGCAGCGCCAGGCTGAGAAGGGGCTCAGCAGACACAGGACGCCTGGAGCCACTAGCTCAGGACGCGGGGCGCTGCAGTGTGCTCACTGGGTGCAGCGGCAGTGGCTCCGGAAAAGTGTTCTTTCTCTAGGTTAATTTTGCAAAACTGCAAAATAATAAGTAAGTGGCCTTAAAAAGAGCTCTCTGTAATGAAACATCCAATCCTGGACCCTGGAGCCTCCTGCTCTATCAAAATGCCATAATTTCTTCTCTTTTTCTTTGGAGGAAAGATCGTTTTATGTGTGTCCTGGGTGTGTGTGGGTCAGAGAGAGAGAGAGAGAGAATATATGATGTGTGAACAGCCAGCCTTTGAGAACTGACAGGACAGGGCTGGCTTTTCAGTTAATAAAAAGACAAGTAACTGCTTCCTGGGCATGGTTTCAAGACACAAAATGACCCTTCCACAAACGCCCAGTGATGCACTTTACAGACCCCTCCCTGATCTCCGTGAGCACAGCGCTTCCCGCTGTGCGTTGAGGAACAGCAGCTCAGCCCGCTAACAGGCATCAAGCACATAGCGGTTCTGTGTTCCAAGAAGTCAGAAAAACGTTGAGCTAGATAAGATCTGTGACAAGGACTTGTTTGCAACCGTCCGCGGAGCTTTCGATAGATCAGTGGGCCCCGTGTATGTACTCAGCCGTGTTTTCAGTTATTTAATCAGGGAGCTGCTTGCCGTGCAGCATGCCTCCCCTTTTCAGATCATCATTCCCTGGAAGACACTTTGTGAAATGCCTTCTCAGGCGTCTCATCGGAAGCTTCGGGCCATGGAGGGCAGGGCGCAGGGAGAGTGGGCGGCGGCCCCAGCGTGCTCGGCTGCTGCTGGCGCCTGACGCAGAGAGGCTGGGGTGCTCTAGTGGGACTTGCTTTTCCTGACACGGGACACATGTCCACCCTGGGGCCACAAGCCAGTGTCCGGGAGAAGGAAAGGGACACTGTATTATTCATCCCAAACTTAAAGACAATTTAAAAACCAAAATCTCCTTTTGGCTTTCAAAGCGCTTCCAATCCTCCCTGAAATGAGAACACATCTATCACCCAGTTCTGAAGTCCCCTCCCAATCTCTAAAGGACAAGAGGTCTTAAACCGCCTCTCTGCCTGCTGGAGTTCATACTGTGATAAAGCCACCTCATGCTATCAGTGCAGTGACACATTGCAAAGGCTTCCCCCTCCCGAGGTTGAAGGCTTGGAAGGAAAACGCCAGCCCTGATTTCCTGAGCCACACAGAGAGAGGCCCGCCTGCAGAGGCCTCCCCAGCAGGTGGCCGCAGGTGTGGGCAGCACACACCATGGCATCCACTGGGTTTTAGAATGAGGCGCTGTGCCAGCACTCACACGGTCAGCCCAGGCATGTTCATTCGAAACTGCAGAGCTTCAGGACTCAGTGTAAGTAACACGCCTAAGGTCAGTGCTAGAGCCAGTGGTTTGTTGTGTGTGGCATCCTCTCCTGACTTCACCGTCCTCTGCTGTCCCGCTGCGGCAGGAGCAGTACCCCAGGCCCAGGGGCCATGGGCAGTCTGTGCCCATGCTGTCTCCTGGCCGGCCAAGGGGTGCTCAGCCCAGCCAGCCTTGCCATTTCCTCCAAACCTCTGACTTGGCTCACAGAAAGGACCTGCTGGGGCTAGGACAGAAAAGTATGGCAGGGGAGCCCCAGTGCTTGACCAGACAGGAGGGGTCCATGGTGGGATGACTGGGCCATGTGGATTTTTTAGTGGTTATTTGCAATAAGGTTCAACATGTGTCTATGTGTATGTGCTTGTGTGGTATATTTGTGTGATGTATGTTTGTGCAATGTGTGTCTGTGTCTGTATGTTTGGTGCACACACGTATGTATGCATATGTTGTATTTGTGTGTGCATGTATGTGGCTTCATATGTGTATATGCATGCACACGGGTACACATGTATATATGCATGTGTTTGTGTATGCATGTTTACACAAGTGCACTGCATGCACAGACACATGTGCACACGTGTATCCATACACGTTTATGTGTGCATGTATATGTATGCGCACAGATGTATGTATGTGTATCCATGTATATGTGAACACACGTGCATGTATGTATTCATGCATGTGGGGACACAAACACATGTATGTGCATGTGTATGTGCACATGCACATGTGGATGCATATATACGTGTGGCTGTGTGCACACATACATATATGTGTATGTATTTGTGTGCATTTGTGCATGTGTGTGTACCTCCTTTAGAACAGGAGATCAGCACTCTGGAACCGGCAGTGTCTCTTACGCTGTCTTCAAAGAGCTTGTCTCCGGCAGTGCCTCTTACGCTGTCTTCAAGGAGAAAGGGACAGCTCGCAGCCACATCTATTGGCATTTCTGGGTCTCCTCAGTCCACCTGCTATTACGGCAGGCTGTGGGCTGTCAGGCCCTCACTGGGCAGAACCCTGCCCGTGAACAGAAGATACAGACCTTTTCTGGCAAGACAGGGCCCTCCCTGACGGACTGCTCACCTGTGTGTGTTAGGAGCTCACAGACGGCCTTTCTAGGCGATGGCAGGGGACTTAACATGGTAGAAACATGTTGCACATGTGACAATGCTGTTTGCCACTATTTGACTGTTACCTACCATATCCTAATAACTTCCATGAAAATCATCACAAAGCTAATTTTAAATTTTTATTAAAAATCACAGTTTAAGAAAATGTTCAACGACAAAATGGAGCTCCTCAGAAATAAATGAAAAACAGGATACACTGCTAATCGGTGGTGAGCTCTCCGGGAGGCTGGGAGGCCTGGAAATCCAGCCATGGCCTCTGCAAGTGAAAATCCAGGTGGACTTATAGTCAGTGGGCGACAACAATGTGAAGTTACCACCTGGCCCACACAAGCAGGGCTGGGCAACGGGACGTGCAGGGGAAGGATGTGCTCGGAAAAAAGCACGTGTGCAATGATTTCACCACTGAACACACTGTGTTCTGTTGTAGAAACATTCAGTCCTGCTGGGGGACAAGGTATTCACGGCCTCAGCAGTCAACGTGATACCGGCCAGGGACATGTGTCTATGTGTGATGCTCTTTTGTTCCCTGCTAAAGAAGGACCAGAAAGTAAAAGGCACATGGAGTGAGCCCAGCCGCAGGGAAAAACCAGAGTATTGCAGCCCAAGGGGCAGTGTGCGTGCAACAGTCTGGCCCAAGCTGGTGCTCTAGAAGAGGCCACAGAGACCTTTCTCAAATCTTCCAAATTCAGCCCTTTTCACATTATAGATCCCTCTTCAATTTTAGATGCCTTTCCCTATTTGCTCTTTTCTGTGACCCCAGGGGAAAGGAGAATTATTCCTAGGGCAGAATTTTCACTGGACAAGACTTTCTCGTACTGGCACAGTAGGGATTCTGCACACAAGACCTGCCCTCCCAAGGGAGACGCCCAGGAGACTGTCCACCATCAGGATACTGCCCGGCTGGCGGCTGCCAGCAGGGAGGCGAGACCCTGCACCCCCTTGCCCAGTCCCGTTCTGGCTGTCTGCCATCCGCAGACTCCTGGGGGGCGGGGTGCAGCTAAGAGGCCAGGAAATCACATGGAAGGAAGGTATAGAGAGCTCTGCACACTGACTGCCTATGCGTGCCCTCATTCCTACGAGCATGTGGCCTGAATCAAAAACACATTCTGGGGGCAAAAGCAGGAAGGCACTGAGAGTCCTGCAGCACAGACTGTCTGAGACTTGATCACCCTGGCACCGAGTCCTGTACACTCAGCCCTCCCTCACCTGAGACTGTAGAATCAACCATATGTGATTCTACAGCTATCTGTGGCTTGACCCACAGAGATCTGGTCATTGATATGTTCAATTTCAGTGACTCTAAGTGTGTTCTGAGAATCTGCTCAACATGTTCAGCACTCAGAGACCCTCTCTTTAACAAAACGATCAGACCACCAGGTAGTAGGATTCCCAAGTGCGTGCATGGCTTCTAAACCGTTCTTAGCACACGTTCTGTGAGGAACTCCTGTCTTCCATGGCTGAGCAAGGGTCCTACGCTCCCCTCTGTGCCTTGCTCCCTGCTCCCCGTCAGGAGCCCTCTCTGCTGCCCGGGCTGCCTCTGCACTTTAAAATGTCTCACGCGTGGGTGAAGATGAGACAGGTCCAAGATCACGAGTATCTGCTGAGGTACGAATTATGGCTAGATATCCCTGACTTTCAAGGGCCACGGCAAAACTGGCATCAATGGGTGATGACTTGTGCAAGAGCGAACATGAAGCCAAGGCTTAGCTAAGACTGGAAGACTAGAAAAGGGTCCTCAGGCCTTGAACACTCAGGCCAAAGTGGCCTCTGAGTCACACTCAGTAAGGCCTGTCTGCGGTGAGGGGTCGGGGCCTTTGGCTTTATTATGAATTAATACCTTCTTAGAATCTCTTCTTTATATGACAGCAGCCAGCATGTCACCCTCCGTTACAGATACAGAGAAAGGGGATTCTGGCCGCACCCTCTGGAGCGGAGGAAGCGCGGGCCACACAGCGGGATGACAGCCCTAAGCGCTCTGCTGTCCTGGGTCGGACGAGGGTGACGGGCGTCCTGCCTTCCTGCGCAGCCTCCACACAGAGCTCTACTTGCCAGTCACCGTGCAAGAGCAGGCTCCGAGGCAGTCTGCAGCACGGTGTCCGGGGAGGAGGCCAAGCCCATTGAGTCAAACGGTTTTCATTCTGCACACCGCTCCAAGTCTTCTGTCTCGTAGCACAGAGAGCAAAAGCAGCGTCCGGGCATTTTTTGTTCTTCCTTAGCAGACTACCTGCTTAGAAACTGCAGCGGTCAAACTTGATTTTTACTCAAAGTACTTTTATTGTCGGGAAAGGTTTTCTGTGGCCAGGCACCAGCCCTGTAGGCTGTCAGAATCATGCTAGAGGCAGCCAGATCCCTCCTCCTCTGCTTCCACCCTCCACTGGGGGTCACATGCTGACTGCACCCTCGGACATTTCAAAATGCCAAGTTGGGTGAGAGCATTGCACACCACCTGGCAATGCCTCTAGGCCTGCCGGGTGTGCAAATGCAGCCCGGACCCAGACGAGGGGAAGGCACCAAAGGGAGTCGGAAACAGACCCGAGGAATAACCTGTCATGAGAATCACATGGCCAAGCAAACAAGCGAACCCAGTGGGCCCTGGGATCCTGCTGTCCGTCCTCCTCCCGGGCCTGGGAGTGCCCTGCGAGGGCTGCCCGGGCGCCCTGTGTGTCGAGGCACAGGCATGCTCCATTCAAGCCAGCTCTCCTGGTCAAAGGCAGCCACAAACAAGGACGAGAGCTGCTAGTTAACCACATCATAGTAGTAATTCCGCAGCCGTGGCTCCACCTGTGCGAATCCGGGCCTGTTCTCCACCCTGGGGAGGGAAGAGGTGAGTTACCGTCTGTCGACAAGCCGGTGAGAGCGTGCTCACCACTGGTGGCCTCTCCTGGGCACAGAGGACAAGAGCCCGCGCCCCTGGTGGCGTGCTTCAGGCACTGCGCTCACGTGGGACCGCACCCAGCCCCAGGGCGAAGGCCATGAGAAATAGAGTGTGTCAGCCGCCCCAGACCGACACAGCCCAAATCTGCAGTTTAACATGCTCTCGGTCATTTCTTTCTGTTTTCCTCTCCCTCCTCCTCTATGCTCCACAGAAAAAATAGATAAATAAGTAACATGCTGTCCAGGTGATGCATGTCCACCCTAAAGTTGGACAAGTTTTGTGCTGGAACTCGGAACCTTTTAGCCCCAGGAGCAGAGGCTGTGTCGTTGGGGTTCTAGGAAAACAGACAGTGTGTAAAAATACTTAACATACGACAGATATATTTAATGTTTGACTCAATCTCGTTAACAGAAGAAATATGAACATAACTTTAACTCCTTCATCCCCACGCTCTAATTGATGGCTCTGGATTATCTGAAAATAGACCATTAATAAGGATTTTTATTAAAACTAAAACCTGGGCTGGGCGTGGTGACTCACTCCTGTAATCCTAGCACTCTGGGAGGCCGAGGAAGGAGGATTGCCTGAGCTCAGGAGTTCGAGACCAGCCTGAGCAAGAGCAAGACTCTGTCTCTACTAAAAATATATAGAAAAAATTAGCCGGGCATGGTGGCGCATGCCTATAGTCCCAGCTACTCAGGAGGCTGAGGCAGGAGGATCGCTTGAGCCCAGGAGTTTGAGGTTGCTGTGAGCTAGGCTGACGCCACGGCACTCTAGCCCAGGTGACAGAATGAGACTGTCTCAAAAACAAAACAAAACAGGCAAACCTGTCATAGCAGAAGCAAAGACTCAGACCTTGTCTGTTATACACCTTAACACAGCAACGCCTTCCTGTCTCTCTTGCCAAGTAAGGTATTTATGTAAGTAAACTATGAGTAAAACGTTTAACAATTTGCAGTCTCTAAACAAATATTTACAGATGTCTGTTTTCTCTAACATGGACATATTGTATGGATCAGCTGAAAGGAAGTATTAAAACACTGAGAATATATTCTCATTTAGAAGTTACTTTTCTTATTTTACAAGATTTTTTGGATATATTGCAAGTGGGCAGAGTTGCCTACTAAGTGAAATAGAATGCGAGGTCACCCTGTAGGAAACTGTCCACATTCAACCATCAACATATTCCATGTCCAAAATGGCCATTCAAACATTTTGACCCACAGCAATTGCAATTTCGTATGGTTCAACCCAGACACAGGAGAACAGCCATAGAACACGCATGAGGACCAAGAATCACTCCTCATTACACGAGCAGAGTGTTTTCTACAGAACCAAAACAGGTAGTTTTGTCAAATGGTATCAAAATACATGGTTTCACCTACAGCTTTCAAGAGCAAGCAAAACCGTGACACACTGCTCTAATCCGTCAGCACAGGCAGCCGTCTGCCCTCACGTCTGGGGACGCAGGCCTCCCAGGGCTCCACGGTGGGGCCATGACCCTGGGAAGGCTGCGGTGGCCGAGCGGGTGGAGCACACGTGCAGGCAAAGCTACATCCGCCCAGAGGGACAGCCGCTGTCCTGCTCCTGAGCGTCGTCGACAGGCAAAGAGAACACACCTCATCCTTTTTGCAAAGCAGGGTTTTCCTCTAACCGTGGGGGCTCAACAGCACAAAGGGCGCCCTGACTCATGCTCCGAGGGTTTGCCCACCCAGCAGCCAAGCAGCCAACAAAGGTGGGGAAACACAGTCCTGAGCCGGCACTCAGGAAGGACACCTGGCCAGCTCTCCTGGGACATCTCTCCTTTAAACCAGTGGCGGAGGCTGCTTCCAGGACACAGCTGTGCTTCAGCAGCAGGAAGGGACACGGCGTCCAGGGCCGAGTGCAGCTTCTGCCCCGCCCCTCCGGCCCAGTCCCCTGCAGGTCTTGGCTGAATGCCTCCTCCTAACGTGGCCCTGCTGGTCCCCTAATGGAAGTATGGCCCTATCCCTGTCCCCAATCACTCTCTGTTCTCTTTCGAAGCTCCCAGTGTGTGATAATAAATACGCACACTTGGTCTTCCTCCTGGGCTCTGGCACAGAGCTCCTAACACCCTGGATTTCTGCGTGACGCAGTTAGAGGGGCATCTCTTGTTCCTCATCATAAGCCCCTTTCGACGACACCTAAGTCTATGCTAATGAGGTGGCTCTTGGCGGCCCCTGGAGAGCTTCAGGACGGGGGCTGGTTGACAGGGCAACCAAACATGTGATTAGAGGGTTGGGACTTTCAGCCTCAGCCCAGAGCTCCAGGGAGGGGCTGGAGACTGAGTTGTCACCAGTGGCCGCTGATTTAGTCAGTTGTGCCCATGGAATGCAGCCTCCATACAAACCCCAAATGATGGGGCTCACAGAGCTTCTGGTTGGTGATCACATCCACGTGCCAGGAAGGCAGGGCACCCCAACACGGGGACAGAAGCCCCTGTGCTCAGGACCCTGTGGACCTTGTCCTGTGGACCTCTTCATCTGCCTATGCATTTGCACCTGTCTAATACCCTGTATGATAAACCTGTCTTCATAAGTAAAGCACTTTCCTGCACTCCGTGAGCTGTTCTAGCAAACTGTCAAACCTGATGTGGGGGCGTGGGAACCCCAGATTTACAGCCAGTTTGTTGGAGTGCAGGTGGCGACCTGGGGCTTGTGGCGGCGTCTGGGGTGGGGGCAGTCTTGTGGGATGGCCCCTCAGCCTGCAGGAGGGTCTGTGCTGCCTGGGAGCTAGTGTCGGACTGAACGGAAGTGAGCTGTGGACACAGTCCGCATGCAGGGAGTTGGAGGATTCGCTGGCATGGAAAAACCACACACTTGGTGCCAGAGCACTGTGAGCGGAAGCAGCCTGGACTGCGGTTTGCTCTAGAGCATTCTAGCACAACACAGCCTCATGGCCTCAGAGGGCTCAGCGTGCCTGGCCCGGCGCACCCTGCCCTCCAGCTGCGGGTGGCCGGGAGCCCCCGCGGGTGGCCGGGAGCCCCTGCGGGCAGGGGAGGGAGGTGTGTCTGCGGCACATTTAGAAGTGTGTGTGTCTGTCCATCTCCTCTCTTTGCCCCTTTCCCTCCCTCCCTCCACCACTCCTTCCAGAGATCCTTCCTCCCTCCCTCTCTCTCCCTCCGTCAGCCCCTTGGAGAAGGTGGCTATTTACAATGGGGGCAAAAAACAAAAACCCGGAGAATATACAGGGACCACTTACGGTGACTTCACTGAATCCACCACATGCTGGAAGCCCTGAGTGCTCCTGTGCCCCAAGCAACTGCTGGCACACTCCCCCAACGTGAGAGGCCCTTCGAAACTCCAAGCATGCACACGTGCGACACCCAGGCCTGTGCCCTCCTGGGTCTGCCTTCCCATGGGACTCACGCCTTCTCAGGCACGCGCGGGGCCACAGTCTCGCTCTTACCTTGCTGTCGACTGCACGCCCGCCCTCCCCCAACTCGAGGGCTTGCAGGGACAGACTCCCGGCAGCCACACTGCTGGGGCCTGGACAGCAGCCGCAGGGAGGCTGGGGGGTGCAGACCACGTGAGCCACCCAGGGCTCTCAGATGATGTGCCACTCGGTGGGAAAAGACTTCGGGGGAGGCTGAACAGGAAGCCAGGGCAGAGCTTACCACCTCACCACGGTGCTGGGAATTCATGTGTGCCTAGGTTTACCAGTCTTTAAACAGGCCTGTGAGCTGCATCTGGATCCTGCCTGGCTCTGGGAGAATCCTGACGGCCTGGGGGCTTTCTCCACGGAGCAGAGGCCTCCCCAGAGGGCTGGGACCATTATGCAGGATATTTGGGACCAAAAGCCCCAACTTCTCTCCATGTGCAAGGGCTTATCCCACTGGTGTCTTCAGTTGCCTGAACCTGACTCAACTCTGGAAAACACAATTACTGATTCCTGTTTTCCTTACTGACCTTCAAGCTGCTTTTGTGACCTGCACAGCGCACCACTTGGAACTGGTGTTTCCCCTTTGCAAAGAAAGAGGGTTGAGGGGTGACGTCTGCCCCCTCAGCTTCCCTTATAGACCCAAGAAGTCCCAAGAGGGCTGAGGGGTGACGTCTGCCCCCTCAGCTTCCCTCATAGACCCAAGAGGGTTGAGGGGTGACGTCTGTGCCCCCTCAGCTTCCCTCATAGACCCAAGAAGTCCCAAGAGGCTTGAGGGGTGACGTCTGCCCCCTCAGCTTCTCTATAGACCCAGAGGGTTGAGGGGTGACGTCTGCACCCCTCAGCTTCCCTCATAGACCCAAGAAGTCCCAAGAGGGTTGAGGGGTGACATCTGCCCCCTCAGCTTCCCTCATAGACCCAAGAGGGTTGAGGGGTGACATCTGCGCCCCTTAGATTCCCTCATAGACCCAAGAAGTCCCAAGAGGGTTGGGGGGTGACGTCTGCCCCCTCAGCTTCCCTCATAGACCCAAGAGGGTTGAGGGGTGACATCTGTGCCCCTCAGCTTCCCTCATAGACCCAAGAAGTCCCAAGAGGGTTGAGGGGTGACGTCTGCCCCCCTCAGCTTCCCTCATAGACCCAAGAAGTCCCAAGAGGGTTGAGGGGTGACGTCTGCCCCCCTCAGCTTCCCTCATAGACCCAAGAGGGTTGAGGGGTGACATCTGCCCCCCTCAGCTTCCCTCATAGACCCAAGAAGTCCCAAGAGGGTTGAGGGGTGACGTCTGCGCCCCTCAGCTTCCCTCATAGACCCAAGAAGTCCCATCTGCACCCCTCAGCTTCCCTCATAGACCCAAGAAGTCCCAAGAGGGTTGAGGGGTGACATCTGCCCCCTCAGCTTCCCTCATAGACCCAAGAGGGTTGAGGGGTGACATCTGCGCCCCTTAGATTCCCTCATAGACCCAAGAAGTCCCAAGAGGGTTGGGGGGTGACGTCTGCCCCCTCAGCTTCCCTCATAGACCCAAGAGGGTTGAGGGGTGACATCTGTGCCCCTCAGCTTCCCTCATAGACCCAAGAAGTCCCAAGAGGGTTGAGGGGTGATATCTGCGCCCCTCAGCTTCCCTCATAGACCCAAGAAGTCCCAAGAGGGTTGAGGGGTGACATCTGCGCCCCTCAGCTTCCCTCATAGACCCAAGAAGTCCCAAGAGGGTTGAGGGGTGACATCTGCCCCCTCAGCTTCCCTCATAGACCCAAGAAGTCCCTCCAAACCCCTTGTGGCCAGAGCAGAACCGATGACGAGGCAGCACCTTCCTGGGAGCCCAGCAGGAACCCAGTTGCCCGGCCAGTTCCTGGTTCTTGTGAACTCTGTGTTGGTCATACTCTAAGAAATCTTTCTTTTTATTAATAATTCAGCAAACCTCATTAAACTACTTATGTTTAGACAAAGTATCTGAACATCTCGCCCCTCCCCTTTAGAAACCACTACCAGAAAATCTTTAGTCTTCAGAGATACAGCCTTGTTGGAAAAGGAAACCCCCGTTTGATAAAGAGCTGTCGTTTCTAGCTGGGGCCTGGGCCCTCCCCGTCTCTGTTCGGCTGAGGCTTGTCCCTGGAGTGGACCGCAGGCCCGCGGCACTCGGGAGGCCAGCAGGAAAGACGCCTGCAAGCCTCATTGGGCCCATTCTCAACGCTCCAGGTGCGAAAGTGCATTTCCAAAGAGTGTCTCCTGAAGGAAGACGTCTGCTCTACTTTGCTCTAACAATGAACCCAAAAAGAGACCCTTTGCCTCTGCATTCTGCCCCAGTGGATCATTCTGGAAATAACAGCACAAACCCCGCGTGCCATGGAGCAGAGGCCCCCCGGCAGTGGTCCTGTTAGGACACGGAGGCGCTGAGGGCGAGGCTCGTCCCCACCAGGCACACTCCCGACACCCGTCCGCACCAAGCCCCTCTCCTGTCCACTGCCCTCCTCACCTCCTCACTGTGGAGCATCCAGCACAAAGAAGCAACCGACAGAAATAAACATGTCAGCGTTAACATTAAATCAAAACACTTATTTTACCTCTCCTCCTGAAAGTTCATTTTGAATTCAAGTTTTTGCATTTGTTTCAGAATGATTTAAATGGATTTAAATGATTTAAAAGGGAGCCCACCCTGCTCCAGGAAGCGAAGCCTTCCTTCCAAGGGAAGCCGCAGGCAGGACTGAGGGACACTTGCAGCGAATGGTCACGGGCTGCCACGGGCCCCAGGGCTGCCCGTGGGGGAGAGCATCGGAAATGGCTGGGCCTTCCTGCTGATGGTTCTGACAGTTCTAGTTTGGGCATGAGGAGGATTAAGTCAAGGCTACAAGGATTGGACATGCCCCACAAAACCCATGGGTAACATTCCTCTCTTGCTGACACTCCGCCATCTCTGCGGCACTAACACTCAGGGTCAGACAAGATGGCCCGGGGTCTAGGCAGGCACCTCAGCACCGGGAGGCCTGACCGGGCCCTTCCGCTGAGCAAGGGCAGCAGCAGGAGCTGCCGCGGTCTGACCTTTGCCTTTGTGGCTGCCCCGGTCAGTCGCTCTGAGATAAAAAGGAGAGCTGTCGTTGCCATCCCCGATGGTGGCAGGACCATGCTCCAGCGGGGGCAGTCTCAGAATCCCAGGCGGCACTGGCAGCATTTAGTTGGAACGTCCCTCAACCTTCAGATGCTCCAGCAACGCCAGCTGCACCTGCGAGCACACCTGCCCCTGCAAGTGCTACCTCTATGGCCAGGGTGAAGCTCCTCTGTCACAGACCGTGCTGTTTCCGAGCCGTGTGGGCCCTGCACGCTTCAGCACCAGGGGTCTGGAGACAGACACACAGGCCACCGAGCCTGGGCAAAGGACACACCCCTAATCCTCAGGTGTGATGCATTTTCCTGAACATTAACGAGGTACCATGTCAGGTGTACTTTAAAAGTCTGACCAGCACCTGGGATCCACTAGGCAAAATATGTGACAGCAGCCAGGGTAGACTCAGGCCCATGCTGAAACGACTGGGCGGCTTCCAGAGAAGTGCAACCTTAGTCAATCCATCCGTGAGCTGGCCAAAGGGAATTTGGACAGTACAACAGTCCCCTACTGAGCACTTCTACCATCCTCTGTTGCCAAAGACGGCATGCAGCCCCCAACTCCCACGAACACCTTTTCACTTTGCCTGCCCTCCCCTCAGCGCCCACCAATGTTGCCTACGTTGGAATTTGGACACTTGGATTAGGGTACTTATCAAAACTCACTCTTCAGATTCTAAAGCATGCAAGTGCATGGGCCTGGAAGTGTGGTCTCTCAAAGCTGAGCCAGTCCCCCCATCGTTTGTTTGCCAGGGAGCACATTTCTGACTCTTGAAAAGATAGAAGTTATGCTTCTTTTTAATGTCCAGCTATCTCCAGAGCAAGTGGACAGCATGCAGGCAGCGCTGGGTACTCACTCATACGTCCAGCACAGGTTCATCAGCTCGTACATCTCTCTGGGACAGCCCGGGGGGCATCCCATCCGCTCTCCTTTCTCTAGCATAGCAGTGACTTCACTTCCCTTCATCCCCTGAAACACACAGGACGCACACGAGCTTTAAAAGAAAGAGTTAACCAATGACAGAGCAGCCCCCACCCAAGACCCACAGGTGTGCACGCTGTATGATTCCAACAGCAGAAAGCAGAAAGGCAGGGCACCTCATCCGGAGGCAGAGCGGGACAGGCCGCCCGGGGAGGGCTGCACGGCAGAGGCGCCGGTTCTGGTTCTGGTTCCATTCTGCTCCTGCACCTGGGGGCTGGGTTCACAGGTGTGTTTCATCTGCGAAAACTCACTAGCTAACTCCTGGGATTCAGGCCCTTTTTGGCATATATATTTTGATAAAAAGATCTAAAAAATGTAATTAAGCTGCAAATATGATACTGCAAATAGTTATTTCTATTTCAACTCTAACGAATGCTGATTTGGGTGGATATTTTATGCATTGTTTTGTTGTGTGACACACAATGGGGAAAACAACATCCTGTTCAGTGAGCATCAGCTATTTCTTTTTCAGTTTGGAATACACGGGGGCACATTAACTGCCCCGTCAAAAGACAATGGAAGGCCGGGCGTGGTGGCTCACGCCTGTAATCCTAGCACTCTGGGAGGCCGAGGCGGGCGGATTGCTCGAGGTCAGGAGTTCAAAACCAGCCTGAGCAAGAGCGAGACCCCATCTCTACTATAAATAGAAAGAAATTAATTGGAAAATATATATACAAAAAAAAAATTAGCCGGGCATGGTGGCGCATGCCTGTAGTCCCAGCTACTAGGGAGGCTGAGGCAGTAGGATCGCTGAGCCCAGGAGATTGAGGTTGAGCCAGGCTGACGCCATGGCACTCACTCTAGCCTGGCAAGAAAGTGAGACTCTGTCTCAAAAAAAAAAAAAAAAAAAAAAAGACAATGGAAGGCTCAGAGAGGGCGCTCCAATTCCGTGATTTCCAGGTCCCTGGAAAGACAGTGTGGAGCTATTCTGCTCTGACAGCCACGTGGTGAGGACACAAAGCAGGAGTGGCTCACTCGGTACGGCTTCTGCCCGTAAGAAAACGCCTCCCACATTAACACTCCAAAGCTCCAGACGTCACTCTTGCTGGAGAACTTGTAGTAGTTGATGCACTCTGGGGCGTACCACTTCACCGGCCACTTCCCGTGGGTCTGGGCCTGGAGGCAAACGATGAGATGTTCCTTTAGGAATAAAATTGTGCACAGCGGGCTCACAGCAGCATTATGCCCAATGGCTAAAAGATGCACGCAACCCGTAGATAAACAAGCAGATAAAAAAAATGCTGTCTACGCAGACAGGGGATACCATTCAGGCTTAGAGAGGAAGGGATCCTGACACATGCTACAGCACAGATGTACCTTGAAGACATTATGCCCAGTGAAATAAGCCAGTCACAGAACCACAAATCCTGTGTGAATCCATCTATATGAGATACTAAGACAGTCAAATTAATGAGACAGAAAGTAGAACTGCGGTTTCCAGGGCTGGGGAGAGGGTGGGATGGGGAATCAGTGTTTAATGGGTATGGACTTTCAGTTTTGCAAGATGAAAATAGTCTGAATTTTGGTTGTACAACAATGTGAATGTGCTTAACACTACTAAACTGTGTACTTAAAAGTGATTATGATGGCAATTTTATGTTATGTGCGTTTTACCACAATCTTAAAAAAATAATAAAATCATGCCCTACAAATGCTGTGTATGTGTGTGTGTTGTCTGAATTTTAAAAGTACTATTAATCTACACTGGCACGGGTATCAAAAAAAAAATAAATAAAAATAAAAGTACTATTAAACCTTAAAATATTATGTACTCGTTTCAAGATTTCAACACATATTTATGACTCAGGTCAAACGGCTTGCCTCTTTAAGCCTTTTCCTGTCCCCTTTGACTGTGGACCTTCGTGGGCGCATGTGAGAGTACAGCATGAATATTACTTCACGGTTATGCTTCAAAAACAGCCTGATCGTGAGCATATTTAACTCTCATATGTCTTTGTCCACCATAGCTTCAAGCCAAGGCTAATTATTTTGCCATAGACTATATGCTGGTGTCATAAAATGATTTAAGCTTTCTAATTTAACAAAGCAAGTGGTAGTAAAAGGATCAAAACTGTGCATAGCAAAACTCTTCCCTTCAGGTTTGGGATTCAGGGGGCATAGGACTGAGTCTTGTCACCTCCTGTTGATGTCACCTCTCAACCTGGGAGAAGTCCCTTGTGGTGCAGAGGGGGCTTTGTGATTTCAGTGAAAACTAACTTCACGGCACTGCAAGGGGGCACCTAAGTGCTCTGACACTTCTCCTCTAAACGACACAAGTTATACTTCTGTTTCTATTATGTTGTGCATTGTTTTCAGATTTTGATTTCAGAAGTTGAAACAATATAATATTTCAAGCTTCTTCTGAATTTTAAACCGACAAAAAGGTAAACCTTTGACAAATACTAAACACACTGAAAAGCAACTCCAGCTCCTCTTCCCCAGAGGCGACCACCTCCGATAGTTTTCCTGTACCCTTCCAGAACCACCTAGATACATGCATGAATAGGAAATATATACTTTTTTTGTAATAAAACTAGGGCCTTCTTTGCACTTTTCTATTCTCTGCTTAAGCTTGTGCTGTGGACACATTTCTAGGTCAGCACATGCAAACAAAGTCACTTTTAAAGGAGTGACATTGTGCACTTCACTGCTATGACTGACGGAACCGGACTTTTGCAGTCTCCAGCCTTTGCTCTCGCAGATCACGCTATGCACCGTGCTGAACGCGTGTTTGCTGCGGGCGGCGCTGCCACACGGATCCACACTGCCACTCACAGCTCTCCAAGGACCGGGACGCATTTGCTTTTGTGGCTCACATTTCTCTTTGCTCTTGTTTCACTGTTTTATTCTTTTCCATTTCACACTGCTTTGTTTTCGTGAAGAAATCCCCCACGTCCCTGTCTTTTCAATAGTGTCTGGTCTCTTCGTGCTGCATATAACGTAGTTTTTATTTACGGAGTGGCCTTTTTTTCTCCTCCGTTTATTTTCAGAGATGTGCTGGTTTACTTTTCAATCGTATTCTGTTTAATATCTGTGGAAGTTTTAAAATTGGCCCCCAAGTTCTTGGACACGCCTCCTCTGAGGGGTGGGGGCCTATTACCCACCTCCTTTGGATCAAGGTGGGCCCTGGCTGCCTGGCCAACAGAGTGAGGCAGCAGTGACCCTGACACGGTTTCTGCGCCCCGGCTTCCCTTCCTGCTTCTGGGGCGGCTTGCTCTCAGGACCCATTTGCCATGCTGTGAGGAAGCCCAGGGGCCACAGGGAGAGGCCACGTGTAGGTGTGCCACCCACGGTCCAGCGGAGGTCCCGGACCATGGCACGCACCCAGTCGGTCCCTGCCCTGTGCGCAGCATTGTGGGATGGAGGCTCACGCCCCTTCCCCCACATCCACTCCCCATCCCTCAAACCCCCACCCCGCCTGGCAAGTCACCGTGTGAGCAGAGATGCACCAGCCCTGCTGTTCCTGGAGCAGCGGGACTTCAGGTAAACAGATGCTTGGTGGTGTTCTAATGCGCTACATTTGGGGTGATTTGTTTCGCAGCAGTAGAGAAAGCATCCATATTTCGTCTCCTTCTCCTCTTTGCATCCTTGTTTCAGACAGCTGCCTTGTATTCTCTCCGCAATGGTGGCCGTGAAGTGCATGCAGCGTCATAGCAGGCTTCCTCTCCCAGCCTGTGGGGGCTCCTGCTCCAGGCTGCACGAACAGACTGCCTTGCCCCGCGTCCCTGCAGTCCCTACGTGGCTCGGCTAGTCCTGATGCCTTTCTCGAGGCACGGTTCTCCCTGAAGGGACTTCCTTCTGAGCAGCTGCTGCATGCAGAGTGGGCCAGGAGTGCAGTGGGGCAGCCCAGTAGCCTTCCCTCTGCTGCACCCGTGGCTGCAGGAGCTCCACTGTCCAGTCGCATGCTGGACCTGCACACTGCCTCTCAGAGGAAGGGTAAGTGGGCAGGCGTTGCCACCTCGGCTGGCATCTCCAACTACTACTGGGCGTGGAACTGGGGCTCCCATCCTGCCACCCACCAGTTAGAAATTCAGGGTTTGTCATTATTTCTGAGCACGCTGAACATTACCACAGACCTGCCAAGTTGTCAATCTGCCCTTGGCACCCTCTTCAACCCATGGCCCCATCCTAGCACACTTTCCAGTTGGCCAACACAGACCCTTCATGTACACTGTGGTTGAGTTCATATGAAGGTGGGGCTTTCTTATCTTTTTTCCCTTCCTTTAGTTGGTATCAGGTCATTTGAGGGGTAAGAGAAAGCAAAGTCACATCAGCAAATGGGGTTGGTCATTGTGACATTATTTTTTAGGAGGTCTGTACCTGCACTCAGGATCGATTTCCATTTTACATTTTGCTGGAAGTCCATTCTTAATTCCCCATAATTTCTGGCCTAACAAACTAAGGGACATATTTCTTTTCTGGTCCCATTCACATAACTATCCTGATCAAAGAAATTGCATTTCTTTGTTGACACTTCAATTACCCTGGATACCAATTAAGCCACTAGAACAATTTCCACATATTTATTAGAAATATGTGGTACCTAATCTTGTAGTTGGAAGAAGATGATGAATTCTTTGATGGTTCTCACCTTCATTTTCTAACCTTTACCTGTGTAGATAGATATCCATTAAAAGGTTATTTCGGAATAGATCCAAACTATATGCTGTAACAGTGTTCTATAAGACGTTATTAGATGTTCTATTGGGAAAGGATTACATGATGAATTAGGTCTGAGAAGTTTGGTGGAGAAAAACGCTGCTGAGATTTACAATTGTTGAACAACGTGAAAGGGCTCAGGGAAGCCCTGTGGGAATCATCTGCCCAATCCCTATTTTCCAAAGTAATTTAACAAATGAATCCCGTTCTTTTTTCAAAATGAACCACCAATTAATACCTTGACTTCCTATCATTACATGAAGCATAATTTGGAGGATACTCTTCTGAGTAAATCTCAAGGTGTAATATATTAGGGTATTTGCATTTTTAAAACAAAAGAATCAAAGCTTAATGAGAACCTTTTTTAAAAAGTTATTTTTAATTAGTGAAATTGCTTCTTAAAACCCTACCATAATAAAATAAAAGAAGACATACATTTGCCTTTCACTTTCCTAGCGGCTGCTCTGAATACTAAGATGTGCCTACCTTGTAGTAGTTTTCATCAGCACGAAGTGCTTTGGAAAGTCCAAAATCACTGATCTTGGCATAATGTTGAGTAACCAGCAATACATTTCTTGCAGCCAGATCTCTGTGCACAAAGTTGCACTCCTCCAAATATTTCATTCCCATAGAAACCTGGTGGACCAGCTCTATAATGTTCTTATCCTTGACGTGCCTGAAAGTCACAACGGTGTCATTAGCTACAGCAGACAGTGGTCCATTTTAGAAGAGCCACGTTCCTCATACAGATAGAAGATGAATCCATGCATTCCACATTCTTAAACAATAGGACTCGCAAGTGGTGACCAATAGCCTTGTTAGTGTACAGATGCTCAAGACAGAACACCGTTCAGTGTTCAATGTGGATTTTCATGTCGTGCTTTGAATCACACAAAAGGCAGCAAAGTGGAGTACTCAGACCTGGCTTGTGGACAGCCAAGCACCAGCTCAAATCCCTGTTCCAATATCATCAGGCAACCTGAGCCTCAATTTCTTACTTGTAAAGTAGGGGTAACAATATCTCCCTTCTGAAGACATCATCTCAGTACAAACATGGCACAGCAAATGGGGAAAGCTAGTGGGTGGCTGTTGTTCTGTCTCATTCCACGTGAGCCCCCATCTCAGCAATGGCTGTAGATGAGCACAATGTCATTACTCCCTTGATGGGTGGAATCAATTAATAACAATTGACATTTCTGTAATTGAAGTCATGAGAACTTAGACGTCAGCCCAACATATAAGACATAGCTGCTATCCCTTGGAAAATGTTTAAATGTTTGTTTAAAAACAGAGTGTCGGCCAGGCGGCTCACGCCTGTAATCCTAGCATTCTGGGAGGCCAAGACGAGAGGATTGCTCGAGGTTAGGAGTTCAAAACCAGCCTAGGCAAGAGTGAGACCCCGTCTCTACTAAAAATAGAAAGAAATTAATTGGCCAACTAAAAAATATATATAGAGAAAAAATTAGCCAGGCATGGTCAGGAGGCTGAGGCAGCAGGATCGCTTGAGCCCAGGAGTTTGAGGTTGCTGTGAGCTAGGCTGATGCCATGGCACTCTAGCCATGGCAACAGAGTGAGACTGTCTCAAAAACAAAACAAAACAAAACAAAACCAAAACAGAGTGTCCTTCCTGGTGAGGGGAGGGAGGGAGATTTCTTATGGAGACATTCTGAGGCTGAGTCTACCACTGCGCCAATACAGAGTGAGTAAAGAAAGAGAAGAAAGATGAAATTGCCAAACTAGAATTCTTCTCTGAGCAACAAGAGCTAAAGGAGCTGGGGCCAAAGATCACGTCTCCCTTCCTCCTCTCTCAAGGTCCCGAGCGGGATCGACGTGGGAGGCAGGAGGGCTTCGGGTCGGCCGGCCCACCCATCAGGAAGGGCGCCCTGTCCCTCGGGGTGTGGCTTCTGGCCACACGGTACCTGTTCTGCTGCAGAAACTTGTTGAGGGGGCCGAGCTCCGCCATCTCCATGACCAGCATCCAGGACTCGGCCTCGCAGATCCCGATCATGCGCACGATGTACGGGTTGTCCAGCTGCTGCATGACGTTGGCTTCTGCCAGCAGCTCGTCCTTGAGAGCAGGGTCGTTGGCCTCGTTCTTCAGTATTTTCACAGCCACCGTTTTCACCACTCTGTGAAAGAAATCACAATGCACAAGAAAGTTCCCCAGAGAGCTCACCTCTAGACGGCCCTCTTCTGCGAGCCTGACCGCTGTGCAGGAGCAGGCTCGAGGAAGGCGTGCGGCAGGGCGAGCCGTGTCTGCAGAGGCCTAGGCAGATGGCCGGCTTCCGACCGCACCCTCCACTTCACGGGCTAGAGCAAGCCCCTTACTTTTGAGCGGTGGGGAACAGTGCTGACAAGTGCCTCGGCCAAGCAGAAGCCCTAACTGTGGAACATGTAAGTAATTTTCAAATAGCCTCACCAACTACCACAGACATGGATTCCTGTGACGTCTTGTGGTTCACCATCTTGGAGTATGTGTCATGAATATGAATATATTAAACATGAATAAATATGAATATGAATATATTAAAATTCTTTTAATATAAGTTGAAAGTGAATTTCTGGGTATAGAATTTAAAAGTGTACATTTAAATGGAATAATAATACATTTTAAAAACATACATTTAAATACATTTAAAAGCTAAACAATTGTGTGGAGAGAAACCTGAAGATGTTGAAGAAGACCTAAGTGGAGCCATGTTTATTGGCTGGAAGACTCATTATTGAAATGACATCATTTTGCCCCAAACTGTCCCAGAGAGCCTCTCCTATCCCGAAACACTCCAGCTAAAATTATGTATCCACAGTCACATCTATTTTAATTTATATATTTAAGATATTTAAAATTAAATATCATATACTTTCACAAACCAAGAAAATTTAGGCCTTAATAGGTGAAAATTTGTATTCACTTTAAAAAATGACTATGATGTACATACATATGTTTCAAAATAAGCACCACGGCCAATTTAGATTGTGTGTGTCCATGTGTGTGCATGTGTGCGTGTGTGTACACACATACACACACACACACAAATGCAAAGGGAAGAAGCAGCCCAGGAAGGAAGAGTTCTTTGGATATACTTTTGGCTGTATTTTTGACCCTTGAATCATATAAATTACCTATGCATGAAAAATATTTTTGACAAAATACCTTAAATTGAAAATAGCATGAAACAACAAAACCTAACCACATTCGTATTAGTATCATACCAATTCAAAGATAGGGTCTATTTCAAAAGACTTTAGAAATGGGTATTCTCACTATACATTCTGTGTGGGATGCCTTCCAAAGACCAAATGAATGCAAATATATTTTAGTAATTTAGTGATTTTAACTACTGTATATATTATGCATTGTCATTTGAAATCATAGGATAAAGCCAATAAATAATTACACTAATGATATTTGGAATCCAGAATTTTCTGGGTAAGAAGAATGAGACACAATTGTAAAATCAAAGAAAATAGGCCGGGCCTGGTGGCTCATGCCTGTAATCCTAGCACTCTGAGAGGCTGAGACGGGCAGATTGCTCAAGGTCAGGAGTTTGAAACCAGCCTGAGCAAGAGCGAGACCCCGTCTCTACTATAAATAGAAATAAATTAATTGGCCAACTAATATATATAGAAAAAATTAGCCAGGCATGGTGGTACATGCCTATAGTCCCAGCTACTTGGGAGGCTGAGGCAGCAGGATTGCTTGAGCCCAGGAGTTTGAGGTTGTTGTGAGCTAGGCTGACGCCACGGCACTCACTCTAGCCTGGGCAACAAAGCAAGACTCTGTCTCAAAAAAAAAAAAAAAAATCAAAGAAAATATGTGAAAGCACTATTGTTATCATTGAATGATTTCTTTTTAAATAATACATATATATGTGCATATAAAAATCTAAAAAACCTATATACTATGGTTAGTTAACAGTGATTATGTTTGGGCGATACAAATATGATATCTTTTCTTCCTAGGTCTCTGCTTGTTTTACTTCCTAATTTTTTTTTGAGACAGAGTCTTGCTCTGTCACCCCAGTTATAGTGTAGTGGGGTTGTCATAGTTCACTGCAACCTCAAACTCCTGGGCTCAAGCAATCCTCCTGCCTCAGCCTCCTGAGTAGCTGAGACTACAGGTGCACACTACCACACCTGGCTAATTTTTTTCTACTTTTAGTAGAGATGGAGTCTTTCTCTTGCTTAGGCTGGACTCGAACTCCTTGGCTCAAGCAATCCTGCCACCTCAGCCTCCCAGAGTGCTGGGATTACAGGTGTGAGCCACCACCCCTAGCTTCTATTTCCTAATTTTCTACAAGGTTTATGAATCACATCTAAACTCACATAAGTTATTACATTCATAGTTAATATACATAATGGATGTTCTCATCATAATTGCACCAGAAATTGACAAAAACTAGAATGTTACCACAACCGGCTCTGCCAGCGGTTACATTCTGTGTTTGGGACTAAGTGAACGTTACAGACGTACTGTCAGTCGTTTGGGCCGTAGGCTTGTGTGGGGTGAGGGTGGCGCAGACTTACTTTTTCATTTGGTAGTAGCCCTTTTTCACGGTCCCGAAGTTACCGGAGCCCAGCTCTTTGTCTTCCAGCGTCAGCAGGTTTCGGTCCAGGTAAACCTCCTTGGGCCTGAGCTCCTCGGGGTCGGCGTAGGGGCTCTCGTACACCTCGGTGTCCATGGGCAGGGCTTCCCTCGGGGGGCCTGCAATGCAGTCAGGAAACACACAGCGGGCTGCAGCCCTGGACCTGTCCTTCCAGGCACGTGATCTTTGCGGAAGCGGGAGCGGCAGCGCCGGCACCGCGGGGGGATGGAGGCTCTGGGAGGAGGCCGCAGCTGTCTGCGCGCTGCTAGCTGCCTGGGGGCGGTGGTGAGAGGCCATTCCACCCCGCAGCCCTGCCCTGCTCATGGGCATGCGACCGTGCCACCTGCCGCGGGACGTCAGCGTGCGGTGCTGCAATGGCAGCGGGGGTGCACGAGTGGGCCACCCACCCTCTTCCGCGGACAGCCGCGATCTCTCACCTCGCTCCGCGGCCCAGGGCGCTGCTTCTGGCTCGTAAGGATTGAAGGAGGCGGCGCTGCCCGGCCGGCTGCCCTGGGAGGTGGAGGCCTGCAGCACACGGACGCCGGGTCAGCCCCGCCCAGTCACCGGCCAGCTGACCTGAGCGACCACTTTTATTTTCAAATAATCACATCTTGGCTTATGCAGGGCCGACAAAGTTAAGAGGTAAGGCAGACAAGGAAAGCAAAGCTCATCTCTTTCTTCGGGCGACTGTCTGGACCGGGCGGCGAGGCGAAGGGCGGCCGGCCCATTTCCTCCCCTAACTCTAGCTCTCCAACTTCGCAAGACAGGGATCTCAGTTAAAGAGGAACTGAATGCCCTCCGAGGCCGCCTGCCTCCCACTCCCGCTGCCTGCGTCCTGTGCCCGCCGTGCCGTCGCCTTCAGCGGGGACGGGCAACGTTTGGGGCGCCACAGGGTGGCACTGGCCAGCGAGCCCACACCCGGCAGGCCGGCTGCCACCACCCCGGCCGCAGCGCTACACCTGCCGGACAGTAGCCACCGATCCCGTGCGAGCCGGACTCCTCTCTGCAGACCTGAAGGAAGGAATTCCTCCTGGCACCTTGGCAGGCCAGGGAGGCGTGTGGGACACAGCGCCGCTGCCTGTGACCCACGGCAGCCTTCCTGATTACCTGCTTGATAACGCCAATTTGCATCATGAAATAACTGGGGTAAAAGCCACTTCTTTTATTCCCTAAGGACCTTCCCCTTTGAAAGCCTTCATCTCAAAGTTTTCCTGGCCCCTTTCCCCCCAAATTAAAACAAGGTTATTGCTACTAAATTTAGTTCACAGTGAAACCACAATTCACACCCTTTTTTATATGTCCATATAGCTTCTCAGTGTCCAAACAGTGGCCACGAAGAATGAGATACTGCCAGATTTTGGAGAAGTTTAAAGAAACAGAGACATTAAGCTTAACATTACAGAGTCACTTATCTTACAACACACACTAAGTCCTTGTCTACTTTCTTGATAATACAAGCCCAGAAACCAAAAGTAGGATAATGAAGTCACAACATGCCACTCCCACCACTGGCCATCTGTCCCCAGGCACTGGACGCCCTCCTTTCATGCTGTCTGTGGCTGCCAGAGGCAGGGCCTGCCCCAAGGGGCCCAGCCCTCTGCATGAGACTAAAGAATGTCTGCTCTTATTTGTCAGTGGAATATCACTGGATACATTTTCTCACAGACCATCTCAGCATTCTTACAGAACTATTTAACAGAAGTAGCTATCATGCAGCAAGGATGAAAACAGAATATAAGGTCTAGGGGACACTGGCATTCATTGGCTGCATTGGTAGCCGTGCCACACCTGTGGTTGGTGCTCAGCCAAAATATGTTGCATAAATGAATGAATGAATGAATAAAAATCACTTCCTAAACCTGGAGATGTGAAGTATAAACTAATGTGATTTAAAAATTAGCTATCTCTCAAGTCCTCATACCAATGGAGAGAAATAAGTATGCATAATGCCAAATGACAATCCTTCTCTTTTAAACATTTCATATGATTCCAGGGCTATGATTTCACTCCTGTTCCCCAGAGCAGCAGGACTTTAAAAAGGTTTATTTATTTAAAGGACTTTAAACGTAATGCAATTGTGTAATTATCTGATGTATGATTCCTGTGTGGAAGAATTTGATCATAAGTGGTTACTTATGATCAAGATGAAATGATCAAGTTATGATCATTTAAAGATAGAAGTGGGGTTGGAAAAATGTGCTGAAAAAGATACTAGTATATCAGGAGAAATAAGAATTAGTAGTGATGGACACAGAGATTCTAATCCCGTGGACTTGAATAACTTATTGGCAGTGTGTTGTTTACCCCTCATCTATCTTAGTTTATGGACAAGGAAACAGACCGATGAGCTCCCTTGGAAGTTTGGGCTCCATATTTTCAGCCAAGGCGGCTTAGAGCTTTATTTCCACACAGCCCAACACAGACCACCTTGTGATTATGTTTTCTTTTCTTTTTTTTCTTTTTTGAGACAGAGTCTTGCTTTGTTGCCCAGGCTAGAGTGAGTGCCATGGCGTCAGCCTAGCTCACAGCAACCTCACATTCCTGGGCTCAAGCAATCCTCCTTCCTCAGCCTCCCGAGTAGCTGGGACTACAGGCATGCGCCACCATGCATGCCCGGCTAATTTTTTCTATATATATTAGTTGGCCAATTAATTTATTTCTATTTTTAGTAGAGATGGGGTCTCGCTCTTGCTCAGGCTGGTCTCAAACTCCTGACCTTGAGCGATCCGCCCACCTAGGCCTCCCAGAGTGCTAGGATTACAGGCCTGAGCCACCGGCCCGGCTGGCACCTTGTGATTATGAAAGGACCTGGCATGAGCCTCAAGACCCCGCACCAGCTCTCTCCTAGCCAGGCCCCTGCCCCCACTCCTTTTTGTAACCGATGGGATTATAACAAAGTATGGCAGCATGCTTGGAAGAATGTTCTGTGGAAGAAATGGGAGGCTTTCTATTAAGTCATTTGTAGGGGAATAGGCATAAAAAGCAGTGGTTACTTATGATCAAGATGAAATGCAAATTTCATCTTCCCCAAAGCACTCCACGAATATGCCGTGTATTAGAAAAACAAAAACAACTAAAATAACCTCTGGAAGCAAATTCCCAGCTCAACAAAAGAATTTGAGGACTTTGTAAAGAATGACCAAAAAGGCATAATGACAAATTGTTAAGTTTAATTATTACTAAAAATTTAATGAAATTTTAATTTTAATGAAAAATATATTGCTGGTCCACATTATTATTATTTGTCATTATTCTTTCTGTTTGCATTTGTGATCTATTCTGTTCCAATCAATAGCGTCATCTTTTCCGTATAATCAACAAGGTATAAATGAAATGTTGACAGTTCCTTTTTTCCATTTTTGCCAATACTCAGCACAGAGATCAAACCTGCAGGACACCACTAGATGGCACTTCATACCTTAGTTTTCTACCTTCCAAAAGAGCAACTGGTGACTTTTCAAGGTTTATAAATTCAGGTAATAACAGATCACTCCACAGTAATAATATGTTCACTTATAAGTTATGATCCCTGACTTCTTATTCAAGAATGCAAATATAACATGTATTTGAGAAATCTTTGAATGCCTATGTTTAAAAACTGGAGATTCAGAAGTGAGCAAAAGAGAAAAAAATTATTGCTGCATGACTGATCGGCTAATTCCGAGTTTCCTGATTCCACAGTATTGCCATGTGTCCTAATGTCCATTTTTTTATCTTAATTTTTACCCTCATATTATCAAAACATTTTCAAATTAGGCAACAGCAGTAATGCAGGTGACAACATGCTCATCATGACTGCAGTAACAGTCAGTGGCTTTAGAAATACTGGCTGCAATGAAGCCAGTGTGGCCCCTGTCTCTGGTGGGAAGACCAGGGTCCCCTGGGGAACAAGACCCACAGACAAGGGCAGACCCTTGCCCCAGACAGGGATAGTATTATTTGCTTTAAGATCCATGAAAATAACACTTGACCTTTCTAATTAGTCTTCTCTCACCTTACAGCAAAGATCTAAAATCTGGTGCTAATTATATGGAAACATATTTCTAAGGGTCTGATCTGCTGCTCAGCCATCACCAAGGAAAAGGGTGAGAACTTCTTTTCCTTCTTTTCCCTCTCCCTGCTGACCCCTAGTGAATTGTATATTTAAACGTAAGTTTTAACCCTCTTAGTAGGGCAGGCAGATATGTCAGCTCCTTAGGATATATCGGCCTACGGCACTTTTCGTCCTAGATGCAAAAGCCGATATTTAGGCCCGCTGCACTAAGAGGGTTAAAATACTCTTATCAATTAAGAGTATTATCAATGTGCATGTTGGAATAAAACATGAAAAATGGGTTTTAATTTGAAATGCTGGGACACATTTCGGTTTAATCCTCTTAGAGAATGTGTATCTGAAGTGTGAAGCTGAAAGGCTGTCTGTAAGTTTTCAGGGATGCTATTGTTCAAACTCTGCCTATTTTCCTTAAGAGAAGGACAGGGTTACATACTTAGAGCAGCAAAGAAAAAAATTCCACAACTAATAATGAGAGTGTTTCAATCATTTAAGGATGATCAGTACTTGTATTTAGTTAAATTCATTTATATTTCACAAGCATACACATGTTACTAAATTCTAAAGAAAAGTTTAAAATGCATCTGCCTTTTTAGTTTTTATTATGAAAATTTCATAATAAATTGCTCCCATAGTGGCAATTTTACTGTAACCAATTTTATTTATTTCCCACTAATGTACATTTAAATTATTACTAGACTTTGTCAATTATACAGTAGTGAACTAAACACCTTCATATACACATGACTGCATATAAATGCAAGAATATCTATATGATGAATACTTAGAAATAAAGAGTTGCAGAGTTGAGTATATACTTTAAATTTGATAGATGTTGCAAAATTGCCTTTTTTACAGATTGTATCACTTCACAATTCTCCACTGAAGTGTGAGAGTGCCCATCACCCACATCCTTGCTGCACAGTGTGTTACCAAGCTTTTTCATTTGAGTCTACTTCATGGGTGGACATGGTCAGGCATCTTAGTTTTAGCTTGCATTTTTCTTATCATGAAGTTGAACAACATTTCATGTGTTTACAAATTATTTATATTTCCTTTACTATAATCTACCTACTGATATTCTCTGCCCATTATCCTGTGAGATAGTTGATATTTTTCTTATTGATTTATGGAATCTCTCTTTATATTAAAGCCATTAACCTTACACATGTGTCATAATTACTAATACTTGTTCCCAGTTTCTTATTTCTCTTTTGATGATGTTATGGGTTCTTATCCAATCATATATTTCTTTATTTTTATATGGTCATATTTACCATATCTTCAATTTTTTAAAGACATGTTTTCTTGTAGTCTAAAGATGTACTAAAATGTATTTTCTAGGTTTTTCTTTAGTCACTGTGAGTGATCTCTGGAGAGTTTTGCCTGGGTAAAAATTAAAGACAGACATAGTAATCCATTCACGTGTAGAACACAACGTTTTCTCCCTCTCACTCAGTTAAACTCACTTCTCTGTTCTATGATCAACAAGATTAAAAACCTCAAGTATGACTGTCAGCTTGGAAAATCATTATCAAATATAATCTCAGGGCTTTTATGCTTTGTACTTCTGTCATTTCTAATAAGTATTTTAGGCAATCTACTTTATGAGTGGATTCCCAGTTACAGGCTAAAATGGTTGGGAGAGCATCAATAGACATAAAAACAAAAAGAATTAGTAATAAAAGAATCAACTTTACCCCAACAATGATAAAAATAGAAAGGAAAAAAGAGAAATCCATATGTTATATATACATTTTCTGTGTGTGCAGGAATAAGTGAAACAAAAGTCATAAAAAGATGACTTTTTATTTTCCTTGAAAAGTCAATCACTGAGCAAAACATGGGAATCAATCACATGTCAACATTATTGCCTCAAAAAGAAAAATGGTTTTTCTAGCCCTCAGATTCCATGTCTTTTTCACACATCATATTTAAAGTTCTGTTAGGCACCTACAGCCCTACTGGGGTTGCCTGCAGTGGTGCCTACGACGGCCCGCCAGCCGTGGCGCAGCTCACCTCACCTCACAGCGCCCTGGCTTCTCTGTCCCCGCGTCGTGTACATAGCCGAGCCCCAGAACACTGCAACCTGTGATTCTGGCCACCAAAACGTAAGCAGGCTGCCACCGGAAAGATTATCCAACAAGCAAGGAGCTGCTCTGAGCAGAGAAAGCACGCCACAGCGGACGGAACGCACGCAGGGGGAGGACGCACGTGAAAGCACAGTGCGCGGGCGCAGGTGTGGGGACGGGCACAGGCGGCGGGGCACGGGCACAGGCGGCGGGGGACGGGCACAGGCGGCGGGGGACGGGCACAGGCGGCGGGGGACGGGCACAGGCGGCGGGGGACGGGCACAGGCGGCGGGGGACGGGCACAGAAACGGCACAGCCGCGCGGGTGGCGGGGGCACGGCACAGGCGCTTGGCACGGGCACGGCGGCGGGACGGGCACAGGCGGCGGATGGCACGGGCAGCGGCGGGGACGCGGACGGGCACATGGGCGGCATGGGGACGGGCTGGGGACAGGCTCAGGCGCGGCGGGGGGCGGCAGAGGACAAGGCCAGCGGCGGGTTTGGGACTGCACAGGCGGCGGGGACTGTCACAGCGGCGGGGACTGGCACAGGCGGCGGGATGGGCAGCGACAGGCACAGGGGCGGGGGGGACTGGCACAGGCGGCGGACTGCACATGGCGTCGGGGGGACGGGCCAGGCGCGGGGGCAGTAGGACGGGCACAGGGGCGGCAGGGGACGGCGGGGGGACGGGCACAGCGGCGGGGGGACGTGCACATGTGGCAGGGACGGGACAGGCAGTGCGGGGGCGGCAGGGGAACTGGCACAGCGGCGGCGGGGGCAGCGGACGGGCACAGCAGCGGCGAGGGCGGCGGACGCAAGGCGGCAGTGGACGCGGGACGGGCACAGGCGGGCGGGGACGGCACAGGCGGCGGGGGACGGACATGGCAGCGCGGGGGGCGGCGAGGGACTGGCACAGCGGTGGGGGGCAGCGACGCACAGGTGGCGGGGCAGCGGGGGACGGGCACAGGGCGGCGGCGTGGCAGCGGGGGACGGCACAGTGGTGGCGGGGGCGGGCGGGGGACGGGCACAGGCGGAGTGGGCGGCGGGACAGGCACATTAAGGCGGCGGTGGGGGCGGCGGGGGCCAGGTACCAGGCGTCAGTGGGGGGCGGCGGGCGGGCACAGGCGGAGGTGTGGGCGGGACTGGCACAGGTGGCAGGGACAGGCCACAGGCGGCGGGGAGGACGGGCACCAGGTGGCGCAGCACGCGGGACGGCACAGGCGGCGGGGGGCAGCAGGGAACGGGCACAGGCGCGCCAGGCGGCGGAGGCAGCGGGGGACGGCACAGCGCGGCGGGGGGCAGCGGCACAGGCGGCGGGGGAGGCAGCGAGACGCACAGCAGCCGGGGGCAGCGGGACGGGCACAGGCGGCGGCCGGGGGCGGCGGGGAGGGCACAGGCTGGCGAGTGGGGGGGGGGGCGGCACAGGCAGCGGCGGGGGCGGCGGGGACGGGCACAGGGTGCGGGGGGCGGCAGGAGAGCACAGGCGCGTGGGGGCGGCGGGACGGGCACAGGTGGCGGGGACAGGCAGCGGCGGTGGGGGACGGGCACAAGGTGGCGCGGGGGACGGACAGGCCGCAGGGGACGGGCACAGGCGGCGGCGGCGCGGGGAAGGCCAGGCGGCGGTGCAGGCACAGGCGGCGGGGGGACGGGCACAATGTGGGCGGGTTTGCACAGGCGCGGACAGGCACAGGAGGTGGGGGAGCGGCGGTGGGGGACGGTGGGGGACAGACACAGGCAATGGGGGACGGGCACAGGCGACGGGGGACGGGCACAGGCGGCGGCGGGGGGCGGCGGGGGACAGGCACAGGCTGTGGGGGGGGCAGGGGACAGGCACAGGCAGCGGTGGGGGGCGGCGGGAGACAGCACAGGCAGCACAGGCGGCAGGGGAGCTCGGGCGGCACACACAGGGCGGCTCAGTCCTACCACGTAGTCAGAGACAGCAAGCAGGGGCGCTTAGGCACCTTTCTGTGGCCAGGCTTTGGGAAGGAGTATGATTTGATTCTTGAGATTATTCCACCCGCTGACCAAGTCTAGAAACCACAAGGGCAAAGAGGAACAGTAAGTGTTTCAGGAAACAAGTGCAGGAGCCTTCCACGGCAGGTTAACTCTCCCCCGTGACTGTACCTCTGCCCCTCCCGGGCAACTGCTGTGGGACACACCCCATCATTTGGAGGGCTTCCAGAAAAGCCTACCCCCTGGGCAGAAGGATCTAGAAAAATATTTGGGAAATATTTTCCACTGAAGTTTTTCCAAAATATCTAAATTCTTGAAGCCATGGTGTCACACATGGCTAAATACAGGGCTTGATATTCTTTTAGGAGTTCTCCGCTCTAAGCCCTCATCCATCTAAAGGAAAACAGATCTGTTTCATGGAGCACAGGACATTCAAGGGTGCCAGGCACCACATAAAGAGGTAAAAGAAAGTGATGACTCCACAAAGGTGCTATATTGTAGACATTGATCCCAGAGTTCACTGGCATGTTAGCAAACTCAGGTTGATACCAAGTGCTGCCCTTGGACAGCAGCCCCGTGTCACCCTGGGCTCGGCTCCCAGGCAGCGGCAGGCCTTACGACCGGCACAAAGCATGTCTGGCTTTCTGTAGATTTGTTTCCCAAGGGGTAATAGGCAAAAGTGAGGTGCGGGGGCTGCACCTCACAGAAGGCATAAAAAGCCCATACTGAGGTCCCCAAGGAAGGAATAGGAAACGAATTCCTATTTTGAGTATGCCTTGTACATCAGCTCCCACAGTCCGGAGCAAGAGGAGAGGTGAGGCCCCATGGATCAGGCACATGTGTTAACACAGACGGTTCAAGCATGATCTGGAGCACTACGCTCCTGTTTCCCCAATCTGGCAGGAGGCTTATTTCTGACTTCACACTGGGTTTTGCCCTCACTGTATATACTTTTGGAAATTGGGAAGAATTTAAGGTAGCTGAGAAATGAAGAAAATGTGGCTAGCTTAGCACTAATAAGAGGCTGATTCTACCTCACACTCACTGGTGAGCCCAGTTTATCAAGGGATGTGTTGTGAAGAGCAACCAAAACAGTGGCCACCATCCCTGTCAGTCACAGCCTGCCTTCCGTCTGTGATACTGCATGGTGGCCACCAGCCCTGTGGATCACAGCATGCCTTCCGTCTGTGATACTGCACGGTGGCCACCAGCCCTGTGAGTTACAGCCTGCCTTCCATCTGTGATATTGCACAGTGCCACCAGCCCTGTGAGTTACAGCATGCCTTCCGTCTGTGATACTGCACGGTGGCCACCAGCCCTGTGGGTTACAGCGTGCCTTCTGTCTGTGATACTGCACGGTGGCCACCAGCCCTGTGGGTTACAGCATGTCTTCCGTCTGTGATACTGCACGGTGGCCACCAGCCCTGTGGGTTACAGCATGTCTTCCATCTGTGATACTGCACAGTGGCCACCAGCCCTGTGAGTTACAGCGTGCCTTCCGTCTGGGATACTGCATGGTGGCCACCAGCCCTGTGAGTTACAGCTTGCCTTCCGTCTGTGATACTGCACAGTGGCCACCAGCCCTGTGAGTTACAACCTGCCTTCCGTCTGTGATACTGCACGGTGGCCACCAGCCCTGTGAGTTACAGCGTGCCTTCCGTCTGTGATACTGCACGGTGGCCACCAGCCCTGTGAGTTACAGCGTGCCTTCCGTCTGTGATACTGCACAGTGCCATCAGCCCTGTGAGTTACAGCATGCCTTCCATCTGTGATACTGCATGGTGGCCACCAGCCCTGTGGATCACAGCCTGCCTTCCGTCTGTGATACCACACAGTGGCCACCACCCCTGTGGGTTACAGCATGCCTTCCGTCTGTGATACTGCACAGTGGCCACCAGCCCTGTGAGTCACAGCATGCCTTCCGTCTGTGATACTGCACGGTGGCCACCAGCCCTGTGAGTTACAGCCTGCCTTCCGTCTGTGATACTGCACGGTGGCCACCAGCCCTGTGAGTTACAGCCTGCCTTCCGTCTGTGATACGGCACGGTGGCCACCAGCCCTGTGAGTTACAGCCTGCCTTCCGTCTGTGATACTGCACAGTGGCCACCAGCCCTGTGGGTTACAGCATGCCTTCCGTCTGTGATACTGCACAGTGGCCACCAGCCCTCTGGGTTACAGCTTGCCTTCCATCTGTGATACTGCACAGTGGCCACCAGCCCTGTGGGTCACAGCGTGCCTTCTGTCTGTGATACTGCACAGTGGCCACCAGCCCTGTGGGTTACAGCGTGCCTTCCGTCTGTGATACTGCATGGTGGCCAACAGCCCTGTGAGTTACAGCGTGCCGTCTGTGATACTGCACGGTGGCCACCAACCCTGTGGGTCACAGCGTGCCTTCCGTCTGTGATACTGCATGGTGGCCACCAGCCCTGTGAGTTACAGCCTGCCTTCCGTCTGTGATACTGCATGGTGGCCACCAGCCCTGT